CGGCTTTCGTTTCATTACCGCATTTCGTGTTTTGCAAACACAAAACTGGTTTTGTTGTGTTGCTAGATCTAAAATGTATGACTTTTACAAGATCTTAACACGACTACTTTAAACAGTAAAGTTTTCATTTACGCTAAGCAGTTTTATATGGTCACTTTACGTCAATCATTTACGAAAAATTAACTTATCTTATGTTTACAAAAGATTTTTCAGTTGACTTATGCTAAACACTATACCCCATTAGGACCCTCATTATTGATAGAGTAGAGGAAGTTTCCATATGCCTAATTCCCAGGTAACACTGCTTTGAAGGAACGAAAATATTTTACACGCACACAGATTCTCATGACCCAGGATCCTAATCAAGATAAATCTTCTATTCAAACCAACAATAGGAGGATCCTGGGACAGGTAAGGGACACTACTCTGCACAGTGAATTATGTCACCTTTAATCATTGGTCACCCTGGACCACATGTACATGAGTCTTAATAATAATCAAACAACAAACGTCATAAATAACAGCTCATGTGAAAAAAACGTACCATAAATTCATAAACAAAGGATGAAAAAACATGATCAGAAAGAGCTGAAATATCTTTGAATATATTTTCTATGAGGAGTGAGATGGGTATTTTAGTCATGTCCAGAGAAAGTGCGTGTTTGGTTTTACGCCACTTAGAGCAGTATTCCAGCTATATCATGATGTGTCAGCTTCATGTGGGAGAAACGCCTGAAGTGATGCAGGTCTCAGACGTTTACCACTTTGGTGAATCCAACGAGCACGGCTATGATGCTGACAAAGCTAGAAACATAATCCTGACGGACCGGGATTTGCATGACCATTGAGAGAAAAGTAGGTTGTAGTTTACCTTGGAAAACCATGGATACATGTACAGTCAAAGACTGGTGTGCCGAAGTTGAAGGGACCAACGTAAATGCTCCAAGTATGGACACAACCAAAACTGATGAATAAAGAGGAATACACAGGGACCAAGCTTTTACTTCGAGACAACAATACATTCAATACATCAAAGTTCGACACAACAATGTGTATGTTGTATGTTCTAAGGATAATATTCAGGCAAAATTTGAACTGAACCCAACATCACTTGATCCTGGCATAACAAAGGGACATCACTCTGTACAGTGAATGGCTATGCCTGAGAAGTCTTGGGCACAATGTTCCTTCGTTTCTCTGAAAAGATGAGGTAGGACATGGGCCCTTTAGGCACACATGATCTGCATAAATTAAGAATTGAGCAAAACGTTTCGTAATTGTAATGCAAGATGCGTTCATATGAATGAGGACCAGATGTTGTCATTTCAGCAAGTGGATGTTTGGGACTTCTGATAACACTTAATGCATAGGTAAGGATAGCCTGTGTTAAAAAAAGCTGATTTTAGTGTTTTCAGGATAAAAATATTTAATAATATTTCTAATATTTCAACATGAGCAAGTGTTTTACTCATGCTGATTTTCATAGATGTAGAAAAAAACATAACAAACATATGGTAACTTTTCATTTGAAACTTGGCCACATCAGAATTTCAAAACTTACAAGTGTTGTTTGTTTGTTGGTTGGTTGGTTTGTTGTTTAACGCCGCACTCAGCAATATTCCAGCTATATGATGGCGGTCTATAAATAATCGAGTCTGGAATAGACAATCCAATGATTTACATCATGAGCATCGATCCACACAATTGGGATACAATGACATGCACCAACCAAGTCAGCGAGCCTGACCACCTGATCCCATTAGACGCGTCTTACGACAAGCATAGTCATCTTTTATGGCAAGTTGTCACTCAGTGTGATATTTATAGTACCAATAATTCAAAGTTTTCTGCAACTTCAAAATTGAACATTTCCAGAGGACCAAAAAGTGCCCTTATCTTAACCTCCTTTCCTGACTGACATGATGATAATTTCATAGTTTACAATGGAAAAACAATCATCTCTCATTTGGCTTCAAATTGGTGACAAAATTAATTCACCATGACACAGAGCTCTTTATTGAAAACATGGTGAATTTATTTTGTTAACATAACATGAAAGAAAACAATGCAGAAGACTGAATGTATTTCAACTTCTCTTTCATTCTTTCAATGTTTCGGTACAGATGTGGATACCACGTGCTTGTTAAAGGTTCCACCATCTTTCTTCAACCCTATCTTCACCGACGCGACAACTTTCAAATATCACCTAAAGTTTGGTTTGTTTGTTGTTTAACGCCGCACTCAGCAATATTCCAGCTATATGACAGCGGTCTGTAAATAATCGAGTCTGGACAAGACAATCAAATGATTGACATTAGGAGCATCGATCCACGCAATTGGGATAAAATGACATGCATCAACCAAGTCAGCGAGCCTGACCACCCGATCCTGTTAGTTGCCTCTTACGACAAGTGTAGTCGCCTCTTACAGCAAGCATGGGTTGCTAAAGACCTATTCTACCCCGGATCTTCACGGGTTACATAACCTAAAGATGTTGGAGCAGTGTGGTAGCCTAGTGGGAAAGCCTTCTCTCATCACCTGAAGAATCCCATTTCTAATGTCCCTTGCCGTGATCGCTGGAATATTGCTAAAGGAGGCATAAAACCAAAATGCCAATAAAGACATCGACATGAATTGCATCCATCCATCACTACAAGGACATCACAGTGTTATCATTTCACTGTCTAATCAAGTCAAGGCTGTTAATGCAAATGTTTTGCATGTGCAAAGCAAAATCCCCACAGTGATAATATATACATATACTAACAAACACTATGTCAAACAACAAAGAGACGTGGTCACTGACGCCACCCACTCCAAAAGTCTCTTCACAGAATATTTTTTTACTTTGAACGTTTGAATATGATATTGCCACACTAGCCACCATGAAGCAGGTTTGGTGATACCAGATATGCCAATAGTACCTCAATACCTAATAATACATAAGTATTGAGCCAACTGACCAGGACTACCAATTGCTCAGATATCTTTGGTTGATCAGGAACATGTTCTTTGAAAATGGCCTCCGCTGGATTTCACAAACAAGGCTGAATTACTACACACCATAATTTGCAAACTCAATCAAGTATGGCTATGTAAATAACATATTTTGTTCAGTGCTCAGAAAGAAAATGGAAACAAATAATTATGGAACACAAACATATATTTAATCAATTCAAAACAAAACCAGTTTAGAGGAGAAATGAAATAAGCCTATAAATTCAACAAAATAAAAATAGCATATTTTTGGCTTTAGAAAAAAGAAAAGAACTGGTTCTTATGCAATGACATTTGAAAATATAATGAGGGAGACGTGGTTCTTTTTGTTTGTTTTTTGCTTATTCAAACAAGAATGTAGTATGTAACCAAACATACAGCTGTGTACCATCAACCTGGGAAATGGCCTCCCGACATAAACAAGCATACAAGCTCCTATTGCTGCCATGACGATAACACAAGATGCGCAGTAAAGCAGTGCGCATGCAAAGGGAAGTAACTGCATACTGCATTGTTTTGAGTATTAGGATTTTTTATTTTTTTGAAAATGGAAATAAAAACGAAATGTGCGGCAGACTTTATGATGATGCAGGCAGTGCCTGGGAACCAAGACTTATATTTATTTTAGCCTTAGCATGTTTGAACCATTATCTGGAATCTTGCTGTTTATAACCCCCTTCCACAGAGAACACGCACAGAAACAACATCTTGCACCAGTGTCTTTGAAAACATGTCCTCCAGCTGCTTAACCGATTATTTTCTACAGCTGTAAAATCGACTGATGGCGGGAAACTGGGGACTGAGAGTGTCATCTCTTTCAGCACTATGTCAGTAATATCACGGCTAGTCAGGAGTGAGTGAGTGAGTGAGTGAGTGAGTGAGTGAGTGAGTGAGTGAGTGTTGTTTGTTTGTTTGTTGTTTAACGCCGCACTAAGCAATATTCCAGCCTGCAGACAATGAGTGAGTGAGTGAGTGAGTATGGTTTTACACCGTTTTAGCAATGTTCCAGCAATATTACGGCGTGGGACACCAGAAATGGGCTTCACACATTGTACCCATGTCGGGAATCGAACCCAGGTCTTCGGGTGACGAGCGAACGCTTTAACCACTAGGCTACCCGACCGCCCCCGGCTAATCAGAAGTCATGGCCAGCTGACACTGTAACCACTCTACTACCCCTCCTCAGGGCACAACATACCAGCTTGCAGGATGTTTGTCCCAGTATATGGGGACAAGTGATTGTCATTATTCACAACCACCACATGAAGGAGCAATGAAATGAGATCATTGAGATGAGAACCAAATAAGCTGATTGTTGAATCAGTGAGTAGTATGCTTTTACACTGCTTTTAGCAATATTCCAGCAATATCAGTGAGTGAGTGAGTGAGTGAGTATGGTTTTACGCCGCTTTTAGCAATATTCCAGCAATATCACGGCGGGGGACACCAGGAATGGGCTTCACACATTGTACCCATGTCGGGAATCGAACCCGGGTCTTCGGCATGATGAGCGAACGCTTTAACCACTAGGCTACCTGACCGCCCCACCAGCAATATAACAGCGGGGGACACCAGAAATGGGCTTCACACATTGTACCAATGGGAAATGAACCAGTGTCTTCAGTGGGACGAGCAAATGCTTTAACCACTAGGCTACCGACCGCCCCGATTGTTGAACCAATTGAACTTGGTCGCCTCTTACGACCAGCATAGGTCGCTGAGGATATACTCTAACCGGATCCCCACTAAAAACCTGGATAGCTTTCTTTGCAGCAAAATATACTTTCTGGATCCAGTCAATACATAACAGCTCTAGTCTTGTGTGTTGGTGCTGACTCAACAGCTTCTGTTTAGATTGAGTGAGTTGGGTTTAACGCCGCTTTTAACGGTATTCCAGTTATATCACGGCGTGTCAGCTTAATGTGGGAGGAAAGCCCGAAGTGATGCACGTCTCAGACGTTTACCACTTCAGTGAAACCAACGAGCACGGGTATGATGCTGACAAACCTAATTGTGGCAAACTGGGTTTCAAACCCACAATCATAGGTTTCTGGCATGCCCAAGGGACGCAACCCTGCACAGCGAATCGCGGCGCCTTAGATGACTGGGCCACTCATGCCCCCATCATGATTAAAAAACAAATATCTACAAAACTGCTAAGTTATGATCACTTTACACAAATCACCAAATACACACACTCTTTTCATTAACAGAGAACATAAATAAGGATTCCAGAGTCAAAACCAAAACCAAAAAGTGGCAGCCATTTGCAATTCTTATCTGGCTTCTGTATTCAAAGTTTGCTGTCAGTGAATACAGTATGCATATTTCAAGAAGACAGAGCAGGGGGTCATCAGCTTAATTCGACTAGAGTTTTATTACTTAGGATGAAAAAACTAGTCCCTCTAAATTTTCACTAGTCTAGAACTAACAAGACTTGATGCTCATGTCTATCCCTGGATAGGTATACAGTTTCCCCAAAGTATTTCATGATCTTATTCCAACCGGAGATTTAGCAGCTTCAAATCCTGCAGCGAACATTGGGAAACATTTCCAATGGAACATTATTAACTGCTGATGATAAACAATGAATGAGTGCACCTGCACCTGAGTGAATGCTGTTGAACGACACCCCCTGTAATCTCACAGTCCTCCACGACTGTCACTAGGGTTGGCCATGACAAGGTGGTGAGAGTAATGAAAATACGATCCTTCTTTTGGCACATCTCATGACCCGTAGTCCTTCCTCAGCTTGGTAAGATCTTGTTCGGAGTAAGTTGACGACCTGTGCCTTGATATGACATCACACACATGACCAATGTCTGAAAGTTGAAAAGAAACTTGTAATAAATCAACACTATGATTATATATTAACCACCCCAATTCATCAGTTTCACATATCAAACGTGTATTTGTTTGTTTGTTTGTTGTTTAACGCCGCACTCAGCAATATTCCAATATGACAGCGGTCTGTAAATAATCGAGTCTGAAAAAGACAATGCAGTGATTGACATTATGAGCATGGATCCACGCAATTGGGATACGATGACATACATCAACCAAGTCAGCGAGCCTGACCACCCGATTCCATCAGTCGCATCTTACGACAAACATAGTCGCCTCTTACGGCAAGCATTGGTTGCTAAAGACCTATTCTACCCCGGATCTTCACGGGCTTAATGTGTGAGGAATGTGAGATGCTAGGCAGGTCTAAGACCATCACCAATCTGGTCTAACCCATGCCCAAGGGTATGGTCTTGTCAAACAAAGAAACAAAATTTGAATCAAATCAGGGATTTAAACCAGGTTTCTCGGACAATAGAGGGATTAGCTTAACCCTAAATGGGCCCTAGCATCAAAAGGGCCTCAGACAAAGACAGGAGGGGGCTGCTAACTTTCATAAGCACGACACCACCATTCTTGTGTACAGTTAAAGTTCTGGTTAATAAACAAAGACATCTTTGTCCTGTCACCACAGACACAACATTTGCACATAAGACGACCAAGTCCCCAGGCCCTGGTAAGCTAGACAGTGTCAAGTCGCACTTACGACAACTGTCCCCCGATCAATTAGACAGTGTCAAGTTACACTTACGACAACTGTCCCCCTGATCAACTAGACAGTGTCAAATCGCACTTACGACAACTGTCCCCCGATCAATTAGACAGTGTCAAGTCGCACTTACGACAACTGTCCCCCTGATAAACTAGACAGTGTCAAGTCGCACTAAAGACGACTGTCCCCCTGATAAACTAGACAGTGTAAGGTCGCACTTACAACATCTGTCCCCCTGATCAACTAGACAGTGTCAAGTCGCACTTACGACAACTGTCCCCCTGATCAACTAGACAGTGTCAAGTCGCACTTACGACAACTGTCCCCCCATCAACTAGACAGTGTCAAGTCACACTTACGACGACTGTCCCCCCATCAACTATACAGTGTCAAGTCGCACTTACGACAACTGTCCCCTGATCAACTACACAGTGTCAAGTCGCACTTACGACGACTGTCCCCTGATCAACTAGACAGTGTCAAGTCGCACTTACGACAACTGTCCCCTGATCAACTAGACAGTGTCAAGTCGCACTTACGACAACTGTCCCCCCATCAACTAGACAGTGTCAAGTCACACTTACGACGACTGTCCCCTGATCAACTAGACAGTGTCAAGTCGCACTTACGACAACTGTCCCCTGATCAACTAGACAGTGTCAAGTCGCACTTACGACAACTGTCCCCCCATCAACTAGACAGTGTCAAGTCGCACTTACGACGACTGTCCCCCCATCAACTATACAGTGTCAAGTCGCACTTACGACAACTGTCCCCTGATCAACTAGACAGTGTCAAGTCGCACTTACGACGACTGTCCCCTGATCAACTAGACAGTGTCAAGTCGCACTTACGACAACTGTCCCCTGATCAACTAGACAGTGTCAAGTCGCACTTACGACGACTGTCCCCCCATCAACTAAAGGGTATGTATCACCTTTCTTCTCATCTGCTGACATGAACATCTGCACGGTGCTGAATCTGTCCACTGTACGCAAGTGATGTAGTACACTGTAGCCCCGCTCCACGTCACCTGAACACAGCAGGACTACACATTAAACATCACGTTACACTCCTCTCATCACAAAACACGCATTAATGTCGTATTGGTTTATTGATTTTAATATGAAAGACATGTATAATGTTGAGTTGTTTCTTGCAACAGATTTGCATTTCATTAAACAAGGGATGCTCAAAACTACAGTCCAACATTGTTGTGTCACACACCTGAGGACCAGAGAAATAGTTGATGCATTCGGGGTTCATCATATCCAATTGACCTTATTATAATCTGACCAGCCATGATATTTACCAACTAACATCTCCAGGAAATCCTGTACAGTGTTCCCGTTTACCGGTAATTACCAGTTTTTCACTGGAAAAATTAGGCTTGGACCGGTAATTCATGTGACTGTCAGTCCCTGTGGACCGGCAAATAAAGTAGCTTATAAATCTTTGTTGAACAAAACATTGGTGATATTCATGTAAGTCTATTTCTCGAATGATGTTTTTCAGCTTGTCTGTTACCATCAGGGTTTCCCCTTGTCTATTTTTAGAGCCTGGAAATATTTCGCTTTGCTTCAAATATATATTAGGGGTCACATCAGAACGACCTTTCATCCGACCAATCAGTGCGTCGCTTACTAGATTATGAAAGTGACAGTCGGAACGTGATTTCTAATCATGCAATCTCGAAAACTTTAACATGGGGTATTCAAAACGATAGTTACGGGTTTAACGACTGAATCGTTACAATCTAGACCATGTATTTTCCATACCAGAATGTTTTTTGTTCAGGTTTCAAATTTGTAATCAAAATTTGTCAAAATATGTTTCGAAGCGTAGTCGCCAGTTTGAAATTTGTGCCTTAAAGCACGAGAAAGCTGCCTTCTGATTGGTCATTCCATTGGTTGGTCAAAGTTCCCGCAAGGTCGGTCTGACGTGACCCGTAATGTGATATCCTCAGATCTTTGTTTAGCGGTAGCGAGAACTAACATCTGATTTTAATGAGATTGGTTCTGACTTGTTTTTTTCACCTCACCTTTGCCAACCATTAGCTTGACACAACTGATAATCTTGTGCAGCATCTGCCCATCCAGCTTGTTGCTGATCACTGGAAATACAATTGAAAACATTCTTATAGTATGTATGTGTGAACGAAGCAATTCGGTGACAACCCTCAATATTTTCAAGGGGGCACAGGGGGCACAGGGGGCACAGGTGGCCCAGTCGTCTAGGGCGCCGCGATTCTCTGTGCAGAGTTGAGTCCCTTGGGCATGCCAGAAATATATTATTGCGGGTTCGAATCCCGGTTCGCCCTGACTATGTTTTGAGGTTTGTCAGCACCATACCCGTGCTCTTTGGTTTCACCAAAGTGGTAAACATCTGAGGCCTGCATCACTTTGAGCTTTCCTCCAACATTAAGCTGACACGCCCCGAAATAAATGGAATACTGATAAAAGCGGTGTTAAACCCAACTCACTCACTCACTCACTGAATAATTTCAAAAGTCTTATAATGCTAGCCCACTAAAGTATCGTGCTGCAGTTTAACATGGATACCGAGACCTTCCGCTCTCCAGCCAAACACTCTACACACAACACCACATAGGCGGTCTGTCAATCCTAAGCCCCCAGTATTGCCACTAGCAACATCTTTATCCCCATGTGGGCATCCCTGATAATGACGAGGGAAGAGAGGAGGATATTCAGCAACTGCAGCTTACAGTGCATTATTATTGCTTACGACTAAAATAGATAGAATTACAGTAAACTGCGTTTATAACGAACATGTTTATAACAAACTGACGGATATATCAAACTTATTTTTTAGTCCCACCCACATGCTGTATATATGCTGTATGCTTATAATGAACTATAGTTATAACGAACTAAAATTAGTGGTCCCTTTGAGTTTGTTATAACCGTAGTTTACTGTATCATAAAAATGCCTGCATGTTATCAGAAATCTACAAGGCGTTTAACTTAATAGCAGCCCACAATTTCCTGACGATGCCTTGCTGGCTGTTCTATTGTTACATGCAGTCACAGGCATCCCGTTTCTTGTTTGTGACGTCGTCCTATATTATATTCTATGATGCTGCTATTTTGTTAATCAGCCACTAAAATTATGCTGCTGTTTGTTGTTTTGTTCATTTTGTAATTAGCTACAAGTTCTAGCCATTTTAGCTATAATAATGGTAACTATTTTTCAAGGCATTGTCATTTGCAGAAGTCCTCGGTCTGTACAACAGCCCTCCTTGTCTTGCAGTTAATGGCAGACCTCAGACTTTTGCAAATGATAAAACCCGGAAAAATAACATTACCCTTATGTTAAAGCTGCATTAGCAATCTTGAAGCTATTCAAAACAAGCATAAATATTCATATCCGCCGCCAATATGATATGTCCGGTTGTGTGCAAGGCATAGTGAAGAAATATGGTAGGGTTTTCCAGACCTGCTCCGGAAATGAGCACTACCGCCATGTTTAAGTCAAAGTCGTTGCTATGGAAACTAAAAAACACAACTTCTTTTTCAAAAATCCCATACTATCAAAAGGCACCAGTTTAGCACTAGACCTATCTATGTGCCAAGTTTGGTGAAGAAATACAGTACGGTTTTCAAGATCTGCACCGGAAAGGAGATCCACCACCATTTTCAGTCTAAATCAAAGTCATTGAGCACTATGAAAACTCAAAAAAATGTTTTGGCAAAAATCCCAAACTATCAAAACACCATCCAGACCATCTATGTGCCAAGATTGAGTTCTGCTCTGGAAACAGAATGTGAAGGTTGGACGACGGAAGGACGGACAGCACCCATTCCCATATCCCCCTTCCACTCCGTAGAAACAGCCAACCATGCAATCTGACAACATCCATGAGGTGAGGTGAGGTGACATGGGGTTTAACGTCGCGTCCAAGATTATTGCACTTATATAGCGACGTGCATGCACGTGTATGTGTGTGTGTGGCTGCTTGTACTAGTCCGGACTGATGCCGATTTATAGTGCTAGCTCACTGAGATACCATGCTGCAGTTTAACATGAATACCCCACTCAGACACAGTATACTGACTCCGAGCCGACCAGTCCTTGTTTTAGCCCCTTAATGCCGAGCGCCAGACAGGGTAACAACAAGTACCATCTTTTAACGTCTTTTGGTATGACGCGGCCGGGGATCGAACCCCCGACCTTCCGCTCTCCGGGCGGACCCTCTACCACTAGACCACGGAGGCGGTCGACAACATCCATGAAGTCCACATAGTACTTACATCTCTTTAAATCCTTGGGCTGTATTTGTTGCATGAGCTCAGCAAAGGGTTCCACACTGGTTGCAGTCTTGAGTGAGTTCCAGGCCTGTAGGAACTCATACGGTGTGGCCTTCTCTAACCTGGGGACACTCGGCGGGGACACGGTGACGCTTGAAGCACCCGCCGTCTCCATGGCCTTCCTATTGGACTTGGACTTGGACTTTCTTGACTTGTTGGACTTGGACGTAGACTGGGGTGATGTTGACGAGCTGGTGGAGTTTGTCGTAGGTGGTCCTGCTGCATCAGTGTGGGAAGGTTTGGTGTTCTCTGAAAGTAAAGATGTTGTGCATAGCATCATTTTAAACAAAAAACACAAAGAATGAGGAATGGTAAGGACTGGTTTTGGTCCACAGGACCTGCATATGGGCAGAACCTTAACAAGGTATAGCTTTGTGCTTGCTTCATTTGCAAGTCCTCTTTGTTAGCTTGTCTGTATGTACGCATGATTCCTACCCACCTGACTGAGGCTTTGGTTCCTCCTCCTCCTCATCATCATCATCTACTTCCTCAATCTTCATCTTCCGTCTCTGTTTTGGTGGTGCCTCATTTGACGTCTTTTGTTTTTTGTCTTGTACAGTTTTCTCAAATTCCTGGAATTCACAAATTAATGCAGATTTACAAAACATCCTCAAATGTATTACATGGTCACATGAGCTAATGGTGTCTTACATGACAGTCAGCAATAATCCAGTATTGTCATAGAAGCCTGTAAATAATAATAATAATAACAATGTTGCAACAGCAGTGAGAACCAGTTTCCCAGGATCCCAACATAGTGATAACAATGTTGCAACAGCAGTGAGCACTTGTTTCCCGGGATCCCCACATAGTGATAACAATGTTGCAACAGCAGTGAGCACCTGTTTCCCGGGATCCCCACATAGTGATAACAATGTTGCAACAGCAGTGAGCAACTGTTTCCCGGGATCCCCACATAGTGATAACATTGTTGCAACAGCAGTGAGCACCTGTTTCCCGGGATCCCCACATAGTGATAACAATGTTGCAACAGCAATGAGCACCTGTTTCCCGGGATCCCCACATAGTGATAACAATGTTGCAACAGCAGTGAGCAACTGTTTCCCGGGATCCCCACATAGTGATAACATTGTTGCAACAGCAGTGAGCACCTGTTTCCCGGGATCCCTGCATAGTGATAACAATGTTGCAACAGCAGTGAGCACCTGTTTCCCGGGATCCCCACATAGTGATAACATTGTTGCAACAGCAATGAACACATGTTTCCTGGGATCCCCACAAAAGGATTACAATGTTGCAACACCAGTGAGCACCTGTTTCCCCGAGATAACAATGTTGCAACACCAGTGAGCACCTGTTTCCAAGGATCATCACATGGGGTTAACAATGTTGCAACACCAGTGAGCACCTGTTTCCAAGGATCATCACATGGGGCTAACAATGTTGCAACACCAGTGAGCACCTGTTTCCCTGAGATAACAATGTTGCAACAGCAGTGAGCACCTGTTTCCCTGAGGTAACAATGTTGCAACACCAGTGAGCACCTGTTTCCCCGAGATAACAATGTTGCAACGCCAGTGAGCACCTGTTTCCAAGGATCATCACATGGGGTTAACAATGTTGCAACACCAGTGAGCACCTGTTTCCAAGGATCATCACATGGGGTTAACAATGTTGCAACACCAGTGAGCACCTGTTTCCCTGAGATAACAATGATGCAACACCAGTGAGCACCTATTTCCCTGAGGTAACAATGTTGCAACACCAGTGAGCACCTGTTTCCCCGAGATAACAATGTTGCAACACCAGTGAGCACCTGTTTCCCCGAGATAACAATGTTGCAACACCAGTGAGCACCTGTTTCCCTGAGACAACAATGTCGCAACACCAGTGAGCACCTGTTTCCCCGAGATAATAATGTTGCAACACCATTGAGCACCTGTTTCCCTGAGATAACAATGTCGCAACACCAGTGAGCACCTGTTTCCAAGGATCATCACATTGGTTTAACATGAAAACTGAAAACTCTGAAAACTCACCTTTCTATACAACTTTTTAATGAGCTCTATTTCTTTCTTGGCAGCTGTGTTGGTGGGCTCTATCTTCAGCAGCTGTAGCAGATCTGCCAGGCTGTACTTGTACTCCTCTAGCATCTGCAGGGGACACAACCATGGTGAGAAGCGGTGAGGAGAAATGATGTCTAACGTTGCGTTCAAGATTATTGCACTTACATAGCAACGTGCATGCATGAATGTGTGTGTGTGTGTGGCTGCTTGTACTAAATGCCGATTTTATAGGTACAGCCTACTGAGACACCATGCTGCAGTTTAACATGAATACCCCAATCAGACACAGTACACTGACTCCAAGCCAACCAGTATTAGCCCCTTTATGCCAAGCGCCAGATAGGGTACAAACAAGTTTTTTTAACGTCTTTTGGTATGACGGCCAGGGATCAAACCCCAGACCTTTCGCTCTCTGAGTGGATGCTCCACCACTGAACCACAGAGATGGTCGACACAGACATGGATCATACAGGCATGTGAGCATGAAACACAAGACCTCTGAAGGACAAAATTAACTTCTCAAGTACTAATTTCCTTATTGAAAATGAGCTAAAGTTGCTTCCAGGCCACAGAAATTGCAACTGCACAGAAGTTTTTCTTCTAACCTAATATGACACCATATACCGTAACTAACACGTAACTAATAGTATGACACCATACTACACAGCAGTACTAACGCAACTATGAAACAGTACACCAGTACACAGTGGTCACAACATGAAACAAGCACCTTCCTGGCCTGTGCTCTCCTGTACAAGGCTTTGGTGTTTTCCTTTTCATGTTTCAAGGCCTCGTTGCAATCATCGACAGCATCCTGGGGCTGCAGAGACAAGAAACATGAGCGAGTGAACAAATGGGCAGTTAACACATATTCATCAACATTACTACTAAATGAAAGCCGTCTCTGCCTTACTTTTCATTTTTTTCAAATTCTGTTATCAGGGGAGGTGAAATGGGGTTTAACGTCGCGTCCAAGATTATTGCGCTTATATAGTGACGTGCATGTACGTGTGTGTTTGTGTGGCTGCTTGTACTAGTCCGAACTGATGCCGATTTATAGTGCTAGCTCACTGAGATACCATGCCGCAGTTTAACATGAATACCCCACTCAGACACAGTATACTGACTCCGAGCCGACCAGTCCTTGTTTTAGCCCCTTAATGCCGAGCGCCAGACAGGGTAACAACAAGTACCATCTTTTAACGTCTTTTGGTATGACGCGGTCGGGGATCGAACCCCGGACCTTCTGCTCTCTAGGCGGACGCTCTACCACTAGACCACGGAGGCGGTCTCAAATTCTGTTATCAAAGTTGTTCCAATGAACTAAGACAAAACCACACAACAACAAAGGCAGCATCCCTTGAATACATGACATAAGTTGGTTGGTTGGTTGTTTTGTTGTTTAACGCCGCACTCAGCAATATTCCAGCTATATGACGGTGGTCTGTAAATAATTGAGTCTGGACCAGACAATCCAGTGATTGATATCATGAGCATCGATCCACACAATTGGGATCGATGACATGTATCAACCAAGTCAGCGAGCCTGACCACCCGATCCCGTTAGTCGCCTTTTACTACTAGCATAGTCGCCTTTTATGGCAAGCATGGGTTGCCGAAGACCAATTCTACCCCGGATCTTCATAAGCTTAAATAACATCATCTTGGGTAAATCTGTGTGTTTTATTGTTGTTTAACTCAGCACTCAGCAATATTTCAGCTGAATGATGATGGTCTGAAAATAATTAAATCTGGACCTCATAATCTTGTGATTGACATCATGAGCATTGATCTACACACTTGGCATACAATGTCATACATCAACCAAGTTACAGTGTTTCCAGCCAATTCCGTTAGTCACCTCTTACAACAAAGCCAGGTTGCTGAAGATGACGTTTAACATTGATCTTCACAGGTGTATTGGGTAAGACGTCCTGTAACAATGGTATTGAGCAATTTCTTAGTAAATCAGATCAACATTAGGATCTGTAAAAGATGTTTTGTTTGTTTGTTTGTTGCTTAATGCCACACTCAGCAATATTCCAGCTATATGACAGTGGTCTGAATAATAATCGAGTCTTGACATGACAATCCAGTGATTCACATCATGAGCATCTGGGATAAGATGACATGCATCAACCAAGTCAGTGAGCCTGACCACCCGATCCCGTTAGTCACTCTTATGACAAGCAAAGTCACGTTTTACAGCAAGCATGGGTTGCTGAAGACCTATTCTACCCCGGATTTTCACAGGTTTTACACAATTGGGATAAGATGACATGCATCAACCAAGTCAGTGAGCCAGACCATCCGATCCCGTTAGTCATCCCTTACAACAAGCATAGACGCCTTTTACGGCAAACATGGGTACTGAAGACCTATTCTACCCCGGATCTTCCCGGGTCCATAAAAGATGTGAGTCCCCATGCTTGTTTGTTTGTTTGTTGATTAACGCCGCACTCAGCAATATTCCAGCCTGCAGACAATGAGTGAGTGAGTGAGTGAGTATGGTTTTACGCCGCTTTTAGCAATATTCCAGCAATATCACGGCGGGGAACACCAGAAATGGGCTTCACACATTGTACCCATGTCGGGAATCGAACCCGGGTCTTCAGCGTGAAGAGCGAACGCTTTAACCACTAGGCTACCCGACCGCCCCCTGCAGACAATGAGGGATCTGTACCTTGTTGAGCTTGAGGAAGCACAGTGCCCTGTTGGTGTAGCTGACCCCCCTGTCTGGCAGAGTCTTGATACAGCCAGTGTAACACTCCACAGCCTGCTGGAACTCTCCCTGGAAACAACACAATCAGCACAGAATGAACACATGAGTGTGTGAGTCAGCATGGTCAGTAGGGATTAACTCTACTGATACAGCCGGTGTAACACTCCCTGGAAACAACACAATCAGCACAGAATGAACACATGAGTGTGTGAGTCAGCATGGTCAGTAGGGATTAACTCTACTGATACAGCCGGTGTAACACTCCCTGGAAACAACTCAATCAGCACAGAATGAACACATGAGTGTGTGAGTCAGCATGGTCAGTAGGGATTAACTCTACTGATACAGCCGGTGTAACACTCCCTGGAAACAACACAATCAGCACAGAATGAACACATGAGTGTGTGAGTCAGCATGGTCAGTAGGGATTAACTCTACTGATACAGCCGGTGTAACACTCCCTGGAAACAACTCAATCAGCACAGAATGAACACATGAGTGTGAGTCAGTAGGGATTAACGCTACTGAAACAGCCGGTGTAACACTCCACGGCCTGCTGGAACTCTCCCTGGAAACAACACAATCAGCACAGAATGAACACATGAGTGTGAGTCAGTAGGGATTAACTCTACTGATACAGCCGGTGTAACACTCCCTGGAAACAACTCAATCAGCACAGAATGAACACATGAGTGTGAGTCAGTAGGGATTAACTCTACTGAAACAGCCGGTGTAACACTCCCTGGAAACAACTCAATCAGCACAGAATGAACACATGAGTGTGTGAGTCAGTAGGGATTAACTCTACTTTGGAGAGTGTCTTACAAATATCACACTGTGTCACTGATCTGTCCATGTAAATTGTCAATTTGAAATTCTATTTCATTTCAGCAATCATGTAATTAGAAATAGTGAGAATGTATTAAAAGGGGAAGATGGGAGCTTTTCCATTAGTCTGCAAACTTGAACCAATTTCATGAAAGAGTGATCGAGTGAGTTGTGTTTAACGCCGCTTTAAAAACTATTCCAGTTATATCACAGCGTGTCAGCTTAATGTGGGAGGAAAGCCCGATGTGATGTAGGTCTCAGATGTTTACCACTTCGGTGAAACCAACAAGCACGGGTATGGAGCTGACAAACCTAGAAACATAATCGGGGTGAACCGGGATTCGAACCCACAATCATAGGTTTCTGGCGTGCCCAAGGGACGCAACTCTTCACAGCGAATCGCAGCGCCTTAGACGACTGGGCCACCCGTGCCCCCCATGAATTAGAAATCTCAATCAATTTGTTTCCTACCTTTTGGACATGTTTATTGCCACTTGATTTGAGTTTGTCAAACTTCTCTTCAGGGGATTCAGGAGCAATGGGTGTTTTAATCTCTGGAACCTTCTGCACTGGAACCTTCTCTTTGATTGGAACTTTCTCTTGCACTGGCGTCTTCACGGGTGCTGATGGAGGCGCAGTGAATGATGCACCCTGGGTAGCACTGGCTGGCTGCGAGGGGGGTTTAGGAGGAGAAGTGGAATCCACAATTTCTGGAATCTCCCATGGGAACACGTTGACTATAGCCGGAAGCTTGTCTCTCCATCGTGAACCGTCTTGGTCTGTCAGGTGCTTCTGGCATCTGCAACACAGTGAGTGAGTGAGTGAGTGAGTGAGTGAGTGAGTGAGTGAGTGAGTGAGTGCGTGAGTGAGTGAGCGAGCGTTCACTGTTTTATGACACAGCCATATTTCAGCTTTATCACTGCAGCATATACAATATCCAGTCTGGGACAAACAAACCAGTGGTTGACAGCATGAGCACGGTCAATATTTTTCTTACTTCGTCACCAGCAGTGATGCAGGTGCAATAGACGAGATGGTGGAATCTGAGAAGGGTGTGAAAGTTGATAACCATAATGGAAGTGTAACCGATGGACACGGCAGGGATGCAGCTGGGGATGAAGAAGCTGAAGACGAGACTGAGAATCAAGCTCAAGTGAGCGTGGCTCAATCTCGACCAGTCTTCTACGTGTCTCCTCTCCCGGCTGATGTGGCTAAACTAAGACAGCAGGGCAACGATCTGTTCCGCACAGGGCAGTACGCTGAGGCTTTAGTTTGTTACGAGAATGCCATCAACAAGCTGGATGAAGGTAGGATATTTAACACTGATACGGTCTACCGGAAGGATAATTCTCGTGTGTTTTTAGCCCATAAATTTAAAAAAAGGCCCCATTTTCAAATACAATGGGACATTTTAACATTCTGCACTATGGGCAAGTGTGGGTGTACCTCTGGAATAAATGAAATATTAACATGAAGGGCCCATGTCAGAAAATTCCTAGAGTGAACCCTGCCTAAGTACTTGGCTCAACTACAACGAAGTACTGAGTTTTTAATATCCCAGAACCCCTACAGGGGTCGGCTTATCTCATCCCACATTTATCGACAACAAAACCTTTTGTCTTATCTTGTATCATTACCAACCTTGAGGCACCTTGATGAGCTTGTTCAACGCTTGAGTCTATGCTGAGGACGTGCTTGTAGTCGGCGTACGCCCGGCGATATCTGCAATGTTAGGCAGCACTGTGTATAAAAAGGCCAGGCAAGCATGAAACTTACTCTCTCCCTGAAATACACATACCGTATTCAACGTAATAAGCGCCCACAGCGATATTTGCTAATATATTGGCAAGTGAACAATCCCAATTAGCACCCTTCCTATTGATCAATATACACAAGACTTAAATATGACTCGATCATGTGTCATATGCACCCTTAATTATGGGCAATTAGATTCTGGAAAAATATATCTGTAAAAATATATATGTAAACATTTCAGGCTGTCAGCATAAACCACGAAATTAACGATCTTTCAACTCCAAAATAATATTCTAATAGGAGCCTCCTATTTCTAATTTTGAGAGCGCTTATTATGTAGAATACGGTACTCACAAATCTAAACATACTTAAAAGCATGAATACAACCATTGACTACCGTATATGACCGCGTATAAGCCGAATTTTGAGGACCAGAAAAAAGATTCTGTAGAAAGGGGTCGGCTTATCCACGGGATACACTTTCATGATAGTATTTTTCAGATCGTGATCTGTCAGAAACATCGCCTGAATGACGGTCCGATAGATTACAACTTCCTGAAAGTTTGGAAGTTGCCACGACTAGAGCCATTTTTGTTATAAATTATCAATAAAGTTATTATTATACACCAATGTTGTCATTATCAGGTTGTTTACACAAACATTTTCAAGTTGTGGGTGCTTAGCGATCGTGTTAGGAGTAGGGGCTTAATTCCTTTGTTTTCGAGAGATTAGTTTAATAAACTGGAAAAGCCTGTGAGTAAGTGATGGTCATTCAATGTGTTCATAGTATGATAGTTTATTTAATTCAATTGGATTAACATACAATAGTGGTGTAAAGGGGGTTATAAAAGTTGGTATCATTTTCTTTCGTATTTCAATGGTCAAATTAACACCTCGGCTTATCTATGGGGTCGGCTTATCCGCGGTCATATACGGTATGTTTTCTACAAATAATTCTCACATCAGCTTTTCATCCTCTGTCATATCACAAACATCTCACTAAAATCAGATCTATTACTTCGATACAATACTTCTGTCAAGAGGACACACCCATACAGGTTGTGTCAGGTGAATACAAAGCAAACAATGAATGCCCAATCTAAAAAAAAGGCTGCATGGGTTCTGAGGTCAAATAGATGTCAGCTTTCTAAAATGATTCTCCTTCATTTCCTTACCACCTAATTCAGAATTTCAGTTTGTACAAAAGAATACCCAGACAAGTAACAGATATTCCTCTAATCCGTCTCCCTTATGGGTGCATATGCCATTGTGCTCAGAAACAACAGCGTGTAGAAATATCCCAATTATAATGGCCTTGCCTTACTTACCTACTTTCTGAACTACAGAAAATATATGGACTTATATCTAGTTATGGAGCCATTTGTTTGTCATTCAAGTTGATACGAAGTTTGACGGTCCATGGTAATCTTGTTCCCGTATGGTTTTCAAAAAGTTTCTCCCGACACTCGGTTGTGTTAATATTGTCAGTCATTGTTCGAAACTGAAACACCGCCATCTTGCGGGCTATTTATAGTCGGGTGGGGCTTTAAGCATGTTAAGTTCATATTCGAGCTACAGGATTTGGATATGCTGGTCATAATGCCTTACTCACTTATACTGAGGGTTAATGAGCAGGCGGCAATAGTTTTAGTCCACTAGTCCTTATAATGATAACATATAGCAAAACCCTTAAAAATGGCAAATATCTACTTGTCCTTACCGGTATTTAAGAATTGACTTCACTTTGTGTGAGTTCATTGGAGTATGAACCTTCATAGAGTGAGGGCCAAACTGTATGAATGTCAGAGCTTGCGACAAGCTGATGAAGTTGATGAAGACCAACTCTAACCTGGATTTTCACAGGCTACAAATGACCCCAAACAGTGATCCATGTATAACATATGACTGCAGATGCAGTGTTAGAAATTGGCACTAGTCCTGTAGTCCTTGCCAAACTGCCCAATACTTAAGGTATCATTAGAACTAGTAAAAATTTGTAGAATTTGTAAAAATGTTATTATAAGGAATAGTGGACTGAAACCGTTAGTTTCTACCGCTGGACAATCCAGTGATTGATACAATGAGCATCGATCTACCCAATTGGGGTACAATGTTGGCATCAACCAAGTCAGCGAACCTGGCTACCCGATCCCGTCAGTCGCCTCTTATGACAAACATAGTCGCCTGTTATGCCACGCATGGGTTGCTGAAGACCTCTTCTACCCTGGGTCAGGTCAGTTAGATGGCAACATAACTTACCTCTCCTTTGTTTCAAAAGCACTGGCCCTCCGAAGCAGGGGTTTAATGGAATGTGGGACATAGTCTAGGGCCATGGTACAGTCGGCTATGGCGGAGGAGCAGTCTCCCGTCTTCAGCTTGCAGGCTGCCTGGTTGCTGTACAGCAGGGAGAGGCTGTACTCGTTCCCTTCCGGCACTGGAAGGTAGACATCAATTAAAGATTACTATTGTCATGCATTCATGTTCCTGTTTACCGGTAATTACCAGTTTTTTACCGTTAAAATTAGTGTTGCGCAGTGGAACTGAATATTTGAGCGTGGTTTAACTTTTAAAATCTATAAGGAACTAAACGTGATTACCTGTTATTATGTGAAAGAAAGATTAATAAACCTCAAAAATGAAAGAAGCTAATGCTAATTCTAACAGTTACTACTAAGGGAGTCTTAACACTCTCTTACCATCTAACTAACCAGCTCTCTAACGAACTCTGACCAACTCTCTGACCAACTCTCTGACCAACTCTCTAACCATCTAACTAACCCCTTGGGACCGGCAAATTCATAAGTATATTTTCCAAATTAAGTGAACTTGTCTGTTACCATCAGGGTTTCCTCTTGTCTATTTTTAGTGCAAGGAAATGGCATTTCGCTTTGCTTCAAGGTTAAAAATATATTTGTAGTGACTTCGTCTTGAAATATTTAAAAAAAAAAGAAGAGAAAATTGCAACTGAACTTTATGTGAATGATGTGTAGATCTAACTAAGTTACTTCCGAGATGACGTCATTGCATTGAACATGATGTTGAAAAAATTATACCCAGGTAATTTTCATATGTTTTTTTATTTGTGGAAAGTTGGGACTGACAAAAATTTTTACAAACCTGTAGAGGTTATGAATTCTCTGATGAAATCCTCCTTGGGTCACTTATTGCATTTTCCTTGCTCAAGAAAATCTATATGACATAGTTGTAACCATTTTCCTTAATAAAAAATGTTACCACACAAAAAACTTCGTTTTTGTATGATATACGACCACCCTTACGGGGCCTCACCCCCAACGGCGCCTCACGCCAGGGGGAGCAACTCTCACCCAAATCACTTTCCATATGTCAAATGCTGATGGAATGTGGGGAGGTGGGTGGCCGTGCCCCAAGGAGGATTTCATCAGAGAATTCATAACCTCTACAGGTTTGTAAAATTCTCTTTCTGATTAAATCCTCCTTGGGGCACTTATTGCATCAAGACAGACTCCCAAAGATAATCTAGGAAGTGGCATCCGTCAGCAACAGGCGTAAATAAATACATCGTATTTGATTATTCAACAGAATAAAATATTGAGTTCAATAAATGGAACCAACCTTATCGTGAGGCACCACCGTCGAAAGGCGGGGGCTAGAGACAGGGCGTGGTCGACCATATATTATGATAAAGCCTGTTTTTGCGGCTTGTCATAAGTTGAGAACTCGAAACACCTCCCACCCCCCCACACTTTTTTGAACAAGTGATATAAGGGCGTAGATCACGAGAGACCATAACCAGCGCTGAGCTAGGCCAGAGGGTCCCCGAGGATCGAAGGAGTGCGTGCGCCAAATACGAGTATTATCGAGTAGTAAGGACTGATATTTATCGACCGCAGAAGATAAAATCCGGACCATTACTGAGCAGTATAACCGGAAGACTGTCTAAAATCTCGAATGCTCAATCAGCTAGAGATTAGAACTTTGCCCAGTTCGGAGAACTGACTGACCAAACCGAGTACGCTCGCTTGAGTGTTTGTCGAGTTGGTAAGGTTTGATGAATCGTGCTCGGCTGGCTCCAAATAGCCGCGGAGCAGATCTGCTCAATGGGCAGAGCCGCGGCGTACGCTTTTGACGCAGCCACTGCTCTAACCTAATGAGCCTTCAACCTGGTAGGGGGGTCCCTGCCTGTAAGCGTATACGCTGTACAAATGTTTGAAACTATCCACCTCGAGATAGATTGTTTACTCGCAGGTGAGCCAACCTTCCTACCGCAGTAACAGCAAAATAGTTGGTTATCCTTACGGACACCCATATTTCTGCTGATATAGGCCTTGAGAGTCGTGCGGACATCCAAGACATGAGCATGTCTTGCAGTGGTCCCCGACGAGGAAGGCTGTGAAAGAGCAGGTAGCTCAATAGGAGCCGTTCACGTGGAATCGTGTGCGACCCTAGGACGGTAATAGTCCGGTAGACGAAAACTGACTGTCCCGGTGATATTTATCGACCCCATGGAAGACAGTTATTTTGGGATCGGCTGACATAACCCGAATGTCGCCTACCCGTCTGCCGGACGTTACCACCACAAGGAACGCCGTCTCCCAGCTCAACAGCTGAAGAGAGAGAGAGACGACAGATCCCGAAAGGAAGGACCGGACAGCCAATCTAGAATGATTGACAAGTCCCAAGGGGGACTGATCCGCCGGACTGGCGGTCGGATCCTGTCCACACCTGCTAAAAAGCGCTGCACTAATGGGTGTGCACCCAGAAGTGCCCCGTCGACAGGGACGTGAAAAGCTGCGATAGCTGTAGAGTACCCTCGGACTGTTGATGCGGCCAGGCCGTCATCTAGTCGCGACTGGAGAAACTCAAGCACGGATACGAGATCTGCAGAAAAAAAGATCTGCAATCCCTCTATCGACACACCTGGGCGCATAGCAGGCCTATCTATCGTACTGAACGTTTGTCGAATCCCTCCGCGAAGCCAGTATTGTGTCTGCAACTCGTGCAGGAATACCGCTCTTCTGGAGGCGATTCCTGACAGTGGCCAAGCCACCCATTGAATCCTGAGATTCGGGTGGAGGGCCCCGTTCTGGGATAGGAGGTCCGGTCGTAAAGGTAATATAACAGGAGGCTGAGCCAGAAACTTTTACAAACCTGTAGAGGTTATGAATTCTCTGATGAAATCCTCCTTGGGGCACTTATAGCATTTTCCTTGCTCAAGAAAATCTATATGACATAGTTGTAACCATTTTCCTTAATAAAAAATGTTACCACACAAAAAACTTCGTTTTTGTATGATATACGACCACCCTTACGGGGCCTCACCCCCAACGGCGCCTCACGCCAGGGGGAGCAACTCTCACCCAAATCACTTTCCATATGTCAAATGCTGACGGAATGTGGGGAGGTGGGTGGCCGTGCCCCAAGGAGGATTTCATCAGAGAATTCATAACCTCTACAGGTTTGTAAAATTCTCTTTCTGATTAAATCCTCCTTGGGGCACTTATTGCATCAAGACAGACTCCCAAAGATAATCTAGGAAGTGGCATCCGTCAGCAACAGGCGTAAATAAATACATCGTATTTGATTATTCAACAGAATAAAATATTGAGTTCAATAAATGGAACCAACCTTATCGTGAGGCACCACCGTCGAAAGGCGGGGGCTAGAGACAGGGCGTGGTCGACCATATATTATGATAAAGCCTGTTTTTGCGGCTTGTCATAAGTTGAGAACTCGAAACACCTCCCACCCCCCCACACTTTTTTGAACAAGTGATATAAGGGCGTAGATCACGAGAGACCATAACCAGCGCTGAGCTAGGCCAGAGGGTCCCCGAGGATCGAAGGAGTGCGTGCGCCAAATACGAGTATTATCGAGTAGTAAGGACTGATATTTATCGACCGCAGAAGATAAAATCCGGACCATTACTGAGCAGTATAACCGGAAGACTGTCTAAAATCTCGAATGCTCAATCAGCTAGAGATTAGAACTTTGCCCAGTTCGGAGAACTGACTGACCAAACCGAGTACGCTCGCTTGAGTGTTTGTCGAGTTGGTAAGGTTTGATGAATCGTGCTCGGCTGGCTCCAAATAGCCGCGGAGCAGATCTGCTCAATGGGCAGAGCCGCGGCGTACGCTTTTGACGCAGCCACTGCTCTAACCTAATGAGCCTTCAACCTGGTAGGGGGGTCCCTGCCTGTAAGCGTATACGCTGTACAAATGTTTGAAACTATCCACCTCGAGATAGATTGTTTACTCGCAGGTGAGCCAACCTTCCTACCGCAGTAACAGCAAAATAGTTGGTTATCCTTACGGACACCCATATTTCTGCTGATATAGGCCTTGAGAGTCGTGCGGACATCCAAGACATGAGCATGTCTTGCAGTGGTCCCCGACGAGGAAGGCTGTGAAAGAGCAGGTAGCTCAATAGGAGCCGTTCACGTGGAATCGTGTGCGACCCTAGGACGGTAATAGTCCGGTAGACGAAAACTGACTGTCCCGGTGATATTTATCGACCCCATGGAAGACAGTTATTTTGGGATCGGCTGACATAACCCGAATGTCGCCTACCCGTCTGCCGGACGTTACCACCACAAGGAACGCCGTCTCCCAGCTCAACAGCTGAAGAGAGAGAGAGACGACAGATCCCGAAAGGAAGGACCGGACAGCCAATCTAGAATGATTGACAAGTCCCAAGGGGGACTGATCCGCCGGACTGGCGGTCGGATCCTGTCCACACCTGCTAAAAAGCGCTGCACTAATGGGTGTGCACCCAGAAGTGCCCCGTCGACAGGGACGTGAAAAGCTGCGATAGCTGTAGAGTACCCTCGGACTGTTGATGCGGCCAGGCCGTCATCTAGTCGCGACTGGAGAAACTCAAGCACGGATACGAGATCTGCAGAAAAAAAGATCTGCAATCCCTCTATCGACACACCTGGGCGCATAGCAGGCCTATCTATCGTACTGAACGTTTGTCGAATCCCTCCGCGAAGCCAGTATTGTGTCTGCAACTCGTGCAGGAATACCGCTCTTCTGGAGGCGATTCCTGACAGTGGCCAAGCCACCCATTGAATCCTGAGATTCGGGTGGAGGGCCCCGTTCTGGGATAGGAGGTCCGGTCGTAAAGGTAATATAACAGGAGGCTGAGCCAGAAACCTGAGTATTACTGGAAACCCACTCTGCGCCGACTAAAGAGGTGCCAGGAGCACAATTAGTCGCGCAGGCTGAGTGCCTAGCTGAGACAGGACCTTGGAAATCAGAGGTACTGGGGAGAATGCCCACAGAACTGTCCGTCCAATCTAGCTGAAATGCGTCCGGTGCCACCGACCTCGGGTCGTGGACTCGGGAGCAGAACGTTGGTGTCTGGTTATTTAACCCAGACGCAAACAGATCCACCTGTAACGACCTGTATAACAGGGAGAAAATCCCGAATATCCCCGGGTCGAGCCTCCACTCGTGAGGAGCGAGGATCCGGCAAGACAGAGCGTCCGCACGGACGTTGTCCACCCCCGGGAGATAAACAGGTAGCACCCTGATATCGTGAGAGTCGCACTATAGTAGGAACTGCCACGTCTTTCGTCGAAGCGACGGAGACGCCGTTCCCCCCTGCTTCCGGATGTAAGTCATCGCCGTTTGGTTGTCCATCTCTAGACGAACCACTTGGCCACGAAGCAGATCCGGGAAGCGTTGGAACACCAACCTGACCGCTCTCAGTTCTAGCACACTGATATGCAGTTTGATCTCCTGCTGGGACCATAGTCCCGAGGCAGTGTGATCATTCAGAACGCCTCCCCAGCCGGAGAGTGACGCGTCTGTTTGAACTGTGAGAGACGGAACGGGAGTGATTCCCGACCTCGGTCCACCACTGGAGGTGTGTAATGAGCCACTACGGAGTCTCGAGCACAGTCTCGAGATCTTCCGAGTTCGCCCAAAGTCGACGGAGTGCTTGTTGAATGGAACTCATTCTCAAGCGCGCCCGCCAGACCAAATCCACTGTCGCCGCCATGTTGTCCAGTAACTGGAGCCATGTACGAGCAGTGTGACTTGCGCTTAAGGGACTTGATATCTTGTGACAGAGATACACGTCCTCTCACCGTGTTGAAATTAGCCACTAGGAAGACTAGATTCTGAGTGGGGCTCAGATCTGACTTCTTGAGATTGACCATCCACCCTAGAGTGATCAGAATATCTATCACTTGTTGTGTAGCTATCTGACTCAGGGATTGCAATAGAGCTCTTAGTAACCTAGTCGTCGAGGTACGGATGGCAGAACCGACCTTTTGACCTGGCCACTTGGGCGGGAATCAACATCAGCTTGGTGAACACCCTCGGGGCCGTGGAGATCCCGAATGGTAGAACCCTGAACTGATAATACCTCCCGTCGAAAGAAAACCTCAGGTATTTCTTGAACTCTGGATGTATTGGTATGTGGAGATAGGCGTATTTTAAGTCTATTGACGTTAGCCATTCTCCTGTCTCGACAGTTGAGATCACTGTTTGGTGACTAGGAAACAAGTCGAGTAGAAGCCCTCGCTTTCCTGTCCCTCGGGACCCGGTTCGATCGCAGCTTTCATAAGAAGTGCGTCGACCTCGGCACGGAGGAATTCCGCCTTCTCTCGGGTAGCAGGCACCGGTGTGTGCTTTATCCCGGAAAAGTGGAGGAGCGGATGAGTTTTCCCGATAACTTGCGACTATGGGTTCACCCGGGGCTTTTCGGGCGCTAATGGGAACCCATCGTTCCCAGCCCCGCGAAAAAGCTGTTGGCCTCGACCAGCTGCCTTGCCCCGGCCCGTGCCTCTCTTGCTCCTCACGGCGCCCTTATACCTGAAGGAAGCGGCGGCTTCCAAGCAGGTGTGGACGTCTGACCCGTGCGTTAGCGTAGGAGGGGACAATTGGAGAGGCCCGCTTACGCGGTTTTAACGCTTGGTACCTCCAACAAGGCCTTATGAGTCTTTGATGGAAGTATACAATTGAGCAGCCTCTCGGACCGCCTGCTGAGCCCCAGGGAAGAGGGTGGCACCCTCTTATACGGCAAAGCAAGTAGGTCTTGGCGTGTGTAAGTCGAGTATTTAGATACCGACATCCACCGCCTGCGCATGCACATAACAGCGCACATCATCTGCGATGCACAGCTACGAATAGCGTCCCGCGCAAGATAATGTTAGTTGCGCGGCCAACTCCGAAGAGTCGGCCGGCCCCTCTCCCGCTAACTCCCTCTGTACAGCCGACAGATACGCGGAGTGTACGGACACACGGAGCTGTTGGCATGCATTATGATATTGCTCCTCGAAGCATATGTAAGCAGCCTTCAACTCCGCACCGCACACGGGAAAGGGGGGGCAACCGCCGGCCCTGCTTGACCTTAGTCAAGTTGGGTGTCTCCGACTCTGGCATGGGCGCAGCAACCTGAGGCAGTACATGGACAATCCTGTCCCGCACGTGTCTCTGCACCCGGCCCGAGGCCGAGTCCCGGTGCCGAGGTGCCGGAGGTTCAAGGGAACCCACCTGGCACTGGGCTAGGTATCCACTAGTGAAAGCCTTGGCCTCGGAAGAGGCGTCTGGCTCCGCTAGGGTAAATTGTGCGTCGGTAGTGCACGGGCCGGTGCCCGCCACCACTACGCTGGGGAGCGACCTCGAGCCGGAGCCGGAGCTCGGTCTCGGATCGTCCCCGAGACAAAGGGAACCAACCTGGCTCCGGGCTAGGTATCCACTAGTGGACGCCTCGGCCTCGGAAGAGGCGTCTGGCTCCGCTAGGGAAAATTGTGCGTCGGTAGTGCACGGGCCGGTGCCCGCCACCACTACGCTGGGGAGCGACCTCGAGCCGGAGCCGAAGCTCGGTCTCGGATCGTCCCCGAGACAAAGGGAACCAACCTGGCTCCGGGCTAGGTATCCACTAGTGGACGCCTCGGCCTCGGAAGAGGCGTCTGGCTCCGCTAGGGAAAATTGTGCGTCGGTAGTGCACGGGCCGGTACCCGCCACCACTACGCTGGGGAGCGACCTCGAGCCGGAGCCGAAGCTCGGTCTCGGATCGTCCCCGAGACCAAGGGAACCCCCCTGGCTCCGGGCTACGAATCCACTAGTGAAAGCCTCGGCCTCGGAAGAGGCGTCTGGCTCCGCTAGGGAAAAATTGTGCGTCGGTAGTGCACGGGCCGGCGCCCGCCACCCCTCCGCTGGGGAGCGACCTCGAGCCGGCGCCGAAGCCCGGTCTGAGATCGTCCCCGAGACCAAGTTGCCTGCCTCGGCCGACGCCGGGCATATCACAAGGTCTCGAAGCCGCGTCCGGCGCCGACAACGGGGAAGGCTCGGTCCGCATCTCCTCTCGGAGCTGAGACTTTACCTCCTCCATCATCGACGCCATCTGCGACTTAAGTAACGCAGAAAAGTCTGCCAAAGACAGTGCAGGAGAGGGTGCAGTGCTTACTACGGGGACCCTCGAGCCTTCTCCCCCGGCCCCCGGAGAGGGAGCGGGGGAGACAATCTCGGCAGCTTTTTTACCCTTTTTAGATGGGGAGGGGGGGATGTCTTAGTAGATCTGATATCTACCCCCGCCTTTAATAGACCTCTTTAAAGTGGAACAAGTCAACTTGTCTCTTTTGGGGGCCCCGGGGGGTAAAGGCAATGTCCTCCGCCAGACATATTCGGCAGCGTTCGTGCCTGTCTTAGAACAACCCGTACACAGTTTGAAGGTCTTGTAAACAAGACCGTAATTTCTGAGGTGGGCGGGAAGGGTATCAACGTGTATCAGTGCGATATAAAGATCGGAAAGAAACGTGCATAAATTGTGAAACTAGAAGCAAAGGCGTAATGTAGAATGCGATTTGTAACGCGATACTAATAGCCAATGTGTAGTATAATTATAACACCAAAGGGGCGTGTTACGCGCTAAGGTGTAAAAACCCGTAAAAAAGGTAAGTGTAGTTTATGAATTAACACACCACCTTGGGTTTTGTAAAGGAAAAAATTGTAGACCAATGCTGTATGATATAACAAAACCCCAAGCCGTTTTTTAATGGCCTTGGTGTTACATGTATCAGCCCGTGGAACTACAATATGGACGCCATTACGGCCATTTGAATTCAAAGGTACCGTGCACGTGGCGTATTATTACAACTCTATAACTTCACAATGCGAGGTATTACGCCTTTGCAAAGAAAGAAATGTACCATACATACAGTTTGGTCAGCCATGGTTCTTGTCGAACGATAGATTTCTCTTATTTTTGTCTTGTGTGAAAGATCAACACGTCTGTCTCTTACAGATGACATAAGGAAAGTGATTTGGGTGAGAGTTGCTCCCCCTGGCGTGAGGCGCCGTTGGGGGTGAGGCCCCGTAAGGGTGGTCGTATATCATACAAAAACGAAGTTTTTTGTGTGGTAACATTTTTTATTAAGGAAAATGGTTACAACTATGTCATATAGATTTTCTTGAGCAAGGAAAATGCAATAAGTACCCCAAGGAGGATTTAATCAGAAAGAGAATAGGGGGAACTGATAATTTTTAGAGTTACCAGTCCACCAGGACTGGCAGTTTCAAGAGCCAGTGGGACACTGGACATGTCCATGATGCATGACATCACTGAAGACTGTTGTGAAATACATGCTCATGCTTTCTGTATCGTCCAAGGTCAATCTCATTAAAATGAGATCTTACCTCACTTCCGCTAAACAAAGATCTGAGGACATTCCATTACGGGTCACGTTAGAACGACCTTTCATCCGACCAATCATAGTGTTGTTTACCAGATCATGAAAGTGACAGTCGGAAAGTATTGTCTAATAATGCAGCCTCAAAAAAATATAACGTAGGGTATTACGAATGACAGATACAGGCTTTATGACTGAATCGCTACAATCTAGGCCACCTATTAGCCATTCCAGAATTCGAGAATTTGTCAAAATATATTTCAAAGCGTAGTCACCAGTTTGAAACTAGTGCTGTAAAGCACAAGAAAGCTGCCTTCTGATTGGCTAATGTTGACTTCTTTTCATGCAATCCACTGGACAGTTTGCGAAAAAAATCTATGCATATAACATGTTCTTATAGATATTTTTAGGTACAGGGTATGTTAATGAACATGCTTGCATATTCATAAATATTCGATTCTAGTGGCCACGAATAACGAATTCAATTCATGAATGGATACGGTTCGATCCACCGAATACATGAGTGAATCGCAACAGACCTAATAAACACAGTAGCAATGTTCACTCCAGGAATTTTCTCACATGAGACCTTTATGTGAAAATTTCAAATATTCCAGGGTTACTCCCATACAGCACAATGTTAAAATGCCCCATCGTATTTGAAAATGGGGGCCTTTTTTTAAATTTAGGGGCTAAAAGCACAAGGCCCCACACGAGAATTATCCTTCCGGTAGACCCTATCAGTGTTAAATATCCTACCTTCATCCAGCTTGTTGATGGCATTCTCGTAACAAACTAAAGCCTCAGCGTACTGCCCTGTGCGGAACAGATCGTTGCCCTGCTGTCGTAGTTTAGCCACATCAGCCGGGAGAGGAGACACATAGAAGACTGGTCGAGATTGAGCCACACTCACTTGAGCTTGATTCTCAGTCTCGTCTTCAGCTTCTTCATCCCCAGCTGCATCCCTGCCGTGTCCATCGGTTACACTTCCATTATGGTCATCAACTTTCACACCCTTCTCAGATTCCACCGTCTCGTCTATTGCACCTGCATCACTGCTGCTCGACATGGCACCTGCATCACTGCTGCTCGACATGGCACCTGCATCAGTGCTGCTCGACACGGCACCTGCATCACTGCTGCTCGACACGGCACCTGCATCACTGCTGCTCGACACACGTGACACACCTCTCACATCCTTATCACAAGTTGCTGATGTTGCTGCCACACTGTTTTCATCTTTCTCCCCTACTTCATCACTGTTCCATATATCTTTAGCATCACCACTTTTCACGTTACCAGATGCAGTGCTGCTGTGTGGATCTTTTGTCCCCGACTTTCCACAACTCTTATGTTGGTTTTCGTCCTCAAAACCGTTTTCAACAATATCCTCCTTTCCACAAGCCTGTTGACTCTCCATCTCTCCGTTGGTCTTACTGGACGCCTCATCCTCCGACTCACTGCCATCCACATCCTCAATCAACAACCGACGGCCTTTCGCCTTCTTCTCCTTCTTCTCCTGCTCAAACTTCTTTAGGTCTACATCAGCTTCACGCATTAAATCCTGGAGAAGACATGGTGAAAGTGGGTTAGAATGAATACCTTGGTGCCCAAGTCCCTAAAAACGTCTTGTGTACATCTATTACCAAACTCTCTATTGACACTCAAGTACCTGCTACAGTCCTAGTGTGTGTGTGTTTGTTTATTGCTTAGGGGCGGTCGGGTAGCCTAGTGGTTAAAGTGTTCACTCGTCACGCCGAAAACCAGGGTTCGAATCCCGACATGGGTACAATGTGTGAAAGCCCATTTCTGGTGTCCCCCGCCGTGATATTGCTGGAATATTGCTAAAAGCGGTGTAAAACCAAACTCACTCACTCACTCACTGTTTATTGCTTAATACCACATTCAGCAATATTCCAACCATATGATGGTCCAGTAAACAAAAGAATCTGGACCAGACGTTCCAGTGATTGATACATTCTGAGCAACAAGTACACAGTTGGGTAACATTGGCTTACTTTGGTTTGTTTGTTTGTTGTTTAACGCCACACTCAGCTATTTTCAAGCCGGTAAATAATCGAGTCTTGACCAGACAATCCAGTGATTGACATCATGAGCACCAATCCATGCAATTGGGATCGGTGACATGCATCAACCAAGTCAGCGAGCCTGACCACCCAACCCCCGTTAGTCGCCTCTTACAGCGAACATAGTCACCTTTTACGGCATGCATGGGTTGCTGAAGACCTATTCTACATCGGATCTTCACAGGTCCATCGACATACTATCAACCAAGTCAATGAGTGTGACCACCAGATCCATGAACTCCATCTTCCCATGGCAACAGCGTCAACTGTCTATAAAAGTCCAGTTTCCACCCTTGCCAAACTAGGCTGGACCTTCCAGGCTCAATCATAGCACCACCAGTGACTATTGTGAGTTATGTCCCTTCTATGTCCTTCCTGACCAATCAGATTCCGACTCTCACATCACTTGCAATTGCTTCAAACAAAACGGTGGCGCCCAGTCAAGACAATCTGATCGATAATCAAGATCTATATTGTTATAAAACGGGCCTCACCTCACAAAGTGCATCAAATCACTTGATTAAAAACATGAAAAGATTTGTAAAATATATGTCGAAATCCAGTTGGTGGTACACATGCTTTGCAAATCCTATAGTCGACCGAAATCTGCACATTGAAATCCATGTTGTTATGAACCGGACATCTTGTTCATTACATGATTTTGATCGCGTCGCGTAATGAATAGACTCGTCAGTCCAGCGAAAACGCAACTCCGGAATTCGAGCCTAGTTCCGCAAGGGTGGAAACTGGACTTCTAGTATAGTCATTTAACGTCAGATTGCCTCAGGAAGAAGCATGAACTCGGACTTATTCTGGCACTTACTACTGGTTCCCAGTATAGTCACACCTTTTAACAAGCAGAAGGGTGCTGGAAACAGTCTACCTTGGTTCCCCACAGCGGGTACGGTATGGGACACAGCTGACTGTATCTGTTGTTTCCTGACAGAGGTTCAGATGAGGTGAGGTGAAATGGGGTTTAACGTCGCGTCCAAGATTTTTGCACTTATATAGCGACGTGCATGTACGTGTGTGTGTTTGTGTGGCTGCTTGTACTAGTCTGGACTGATGCCGATTTATAGTGCTAGCTTACTGAGATACCATGCCGCAGTTTAACATGAATACCCCACTCAGACACAGTATACTGACTCTGAGCCGACCAGTCCTTGTTTAAGCCCCTTAATGCCGAGCGCCAGACAGGGTAACAACAAGTACCATCTTTTAACGTCTTTTGGCATGACGCGGTCGGGGATCGAACCCTGGACCGGGTGGATGCTCTACCACTAGACTACGGAGGCGGTCTTGTTTCCTGACAGAAGTGTTTCCTGACAGAACTGTCTGCAGACCGACTCTGACAATGGTTATTCCTATCAAACATTTGTAATCATCTAACCTGAGCTTTTTTATTGGCTGGTTCCAACTCCAAAACTCTCTTGAAATCTTTTACAGCTTTGCCAAATTCTTTCTTTCCCTTGAGAGCTGTGCCTCGCCTGAGTAAACCTAGGGAGTCGAAAAGCAGTTAAGTGTTCTGTGGTCAAATATATCTCCTTAGTTAATCAACAAAGCTATCTGTTGATAAAGGTCACTTCCTGGAAAGAGTCTCATGTTTTCTCCACAATAGGGTAGTGTTTATCATTACTTGTCCAGTTCATAAACAGATATGATAAAAAGTATCATAAAATGTTAAGTTGTTTTACGCCAAATTGTTGTATTATGTTTTAAAGGAATGACAGTTATATTAATTTAAACATTATCATAAAAAAAACAGCTTAGCATACAATTGTAATTATTTCCTTAAATATGATTGTAATAAGCAATGCATTTCATAGTGTTGAAATTGTATAAAATATACCGTATTCGATGTAATAAGCACCCCGCTCTAATAAGCCCCCAGAGCGATATTTGTTAATATATTGGCTAGTGAACAATCCCAATTAGCACCCTCCCAACTGATCAATATACACAAGACTTATTTACTTTCAACTCTTTCACCAAAATTATATTCTGATAAGAGCCCCCTATTTCTAATTTTGAGAGTGCCCTGGGCACTTATTGCGTCGAATACGATGCATGAGATATACAAACGCTCACATTCTATACATACACTTGAAACAGTTCTGATGCACCATACAACATACCTTTGATACACACATGGGTATGATTTAAAAACGGTATTACATGGCAATAGTTCAGTTAGCAGTTCTACAAACATGACTATTCTTAAATCAGTTCACGATTTCATTGTCAAAAGCAAAAGATTCGAGAAGCTTAATTTTATGCATCCAGTAATGGAAAACTGCTATATCTCATTTCACAGACACCACTTGTATTGGCTTCATATATTTCATTTGTGCATTTAGTATGTTTATGTTTAGCACTATTTTACATATAATCTGATATATAACCAGCTGTTGTAAAGTTATTACCTGGAGAGGTATTACATAAGCAAGTTTTGCTTGTTTACCGATCCAGATTTCTTTTGAAATAAAAATATCTTTAAACCATACCTTTGATGTTATTTGGCTCTGCATTCAGCACCTCGCCAAGATCAGCCAAACACTGGTCCCAGTCACATGTCTTCAGGTCTGACCAACAAACATTGTACATTAAACATCAAATTGCATATTCATAAGCTTACCCTATCTCACCCTAAGCATTTCCTTCACTTTCTATTGCTCATGTGGAAATGTGCTTGAACAAAGTTTCAGACTTCTAAAAACATTTGACCGAACACATCCAGCATCACCATGGTCACCACCCAAACAAAGGGTCATGCACTGCAATCCTGTTAAAGACGTTGGATACCATTGTTCATGCGCATACTGGACGCGCATGTAATGGCGAGTATTTGTAATGAGGTTACGTCCCTTTTTAATTGCATAAGAACTCATAGAAATGTAAATTTGGGCAAGAGTTACCTCCCCTGATTCATAATTTTAGGGGTATGCTGTGTTGATTGAAAATAATTTGAATATCCTCTGGTAACATGTTGTTTTTATTTTATAATTTTATTTTACAATGAACAAACATTAGACATAAGCCAGTTTGAAAAATATCTTGATTTTGTTAAATGCTTTTTTGAGTGATGAATCAATTTTTTTGGAAAATGTGCTTTTATTAAAGTCAAATGATGTGTGAAATTAAAAATGTTTTGACTTGAATTTTCATTTTTCTGTTTTGTGCCATATCAAAACTGTAATATGTCTATTTAAAAACACTTATTCAATAATCAAACTTTAAAATGACCATTTTATTGGCAAAATGACTTTATCATCCTGTGCCTCTAGATGGCGCCACTTATTCAAAAAATGCCGTGGTGACTTGGTTTTTTTATTGCGTAATTTGATTCAGGACATATTTTCCTACAAAAGGATACCAAATATACCCATTTCTTGAATTTTTTGTTTTTTGTATGCAACCTCTTTAATGTGACCTTTAATGACTTACATGTTGTAGGAGGCAGTAGTCGGCCGCAGGGAGAAATCGGCATCTATTGTGTCACGGCAACATGTCTGACACACTAACGAGGGTATACTCACATGCTAGAGCTCTGTTGTTGTAGGAGGCAGTAGTCGGCCGCAGGGAGAAATCGGCATCTATTGTGTCATAGGAACATGCCTGACACACTAACGAGGGTATACTCACATGCTAGAGCTCTGTTGTTGTAGGAGGCTGTAGTCGGCAGCAGGGAGATGCTCCTTGAGTAGTACAACACAGACTCCTCGTAGTCACCGGACCGGAACGCCTGCAACACAGGAGTAACCGACTGAATGTCGGCACCTGGGTGCCGTTGTAAAAATAACCTTAGTGCTACGAGTGCCGTACGTCTATGCTTAGGTATGGGAGTTACGATCACCATAGCACTAAGATCGCTTTGAACAACAGCATCCAGCTATATCCTAGCTATACAATGGCGGCCTGTAATGAATCCAATCTGGACCACACGAGCAGAGAATACATAGAGAATCTTACGGAGTCTCTTTTCATATCAAATATATGAACACAAGCGGATCAAAGTTTATAGCTCTCATTCATGACCCATCCATGTAATCTACGTCACACCGAATTCACATTCATGGAACATCCTTGACCCCTCAACTCCAGTGAGTGCATGTTGTTTTATGTCCTAGTCAGCAATATTCCAGCGACATCATGGTGGCCTGTCAATGATCAAGTCTGGCTAGGCAGCACCTCGGTGGCACAGAGTCCCACAATCACACAATCACACAAGTCACACAATCTCAGAAGTCACACAATCACACAAGTCACACAATCACACAATCACACAAGTCACACAATCTCAGAAGTCACACAAGTCACACAAGTCACACAAGTCACACAAGTCACACAATCACACAAGTCACACAATCTCAGAAGTCACACAATCACACAAGTCACACAATCACACAATCACACAAGTCACACAATCTCAGAAGTCACACAAGTCACACAATCAAACAAGTCACACAAGTCACACAATCTCACAAGTCACACAAGTCACACAATCTCACAAGTCACACAAGTCACACAATCACACAAGTCACACAAGTCACACAATCACACAAGTCACACAAGTCATACAATCAAACAAGTCACACAAGTCACACAAGTCACACAATCACACAAGTCACACAAGTCATACAATCAAACAAGTCACACAAGTCACACAAGTCATACAATCAAACAAGTCACACAAGTCACACAATCACACAAGTCACACAAGTCACACAAGTCACACAATCACACAAGTCACACAAGTCACACATCATAACAACCAGGTCATCATTAATAACTTCCAGTCACACATCATAACAACCAGGTCATCATTAATAACTTCCAGTCACACATCATAACAACCAGGTCATCATTAATGACTTCCAATCACACATCATAACAACCAGGTCATCATTAATAACTTCCAGTCACACATCATAACAACCAGGTCATCATTAATAACTTCCAGTCACACATCATAACAACCAGGTCATCATTAATGACTTCCAATCACAACCATGTACTGTAAAACGTGAAATTAATGCGTCTCCAAAAGAATGTGACCGCTGGCCCCTAGCCAAAAATGCGACTCAATATGAATGCGACACCCCCTCCTCTCAAGCATCAGTGGATTTATATCTAAACAAAATGTCCTCTGTCAGGTTTACAGGAGGATCCTCACCTTAATCCAACCTTACATTAATCCAATCACACATCCAGTAGCACCGCTTATTAGCTCTGAGTAGAGTACTTCAGCTAAAACAATACGCGCGCGCTGGCTCGTGTCGGCCTTTGATGCAGTCGCAAAGAGCAAAGACACCGTGTTGGGTGGCGTCTGTCTGGACTTACAAGTGTGATCAGTGATGACATGAGTGAGTAGAACGCTTGTCTTGACCCCAGCAGTGACAATTCACACGATGTAATTAGTGAGATTGGTCGGAGGAATGTCTCATATTCCGCTGACATCCCCTCCCCCCATTTTGTATAACATTTTTTCATGCACCCCATCACCCCAACAATAAATTGACAGTTCTTAAATACTGCTCAAATATAATGCCTCATTACTTAATCTTATTGTCTCCCCACCCCAATAAATGACCCATCCCTAAGGCAGACAAATGTTCTCTCTAACAATACTTTTTCATAGAAGTATTTGTACACGACTCACTTCATTTCCTTTGTCCTTCTCCCTGTTGGCCTTCATCAGCTTCTCCTCCGTAGACAGGCCTGCAATCAGACATAGGACAGTGTGTGTTTGTTTGTTTGTTTGTTTGTTTGTTTGCCACACTTATCAATAATCCACATGTATGACGTTGGCCTGTAACTAATCAATTCTGGACCAGATAATCCAATGAGTGTGAGTGAGTGAGTTTGGTTTTACGCCGCTTTTAGCAATATTACAGCAATATCACGGCGGGGGACACCAGAAATGGGCTTCACACATTGTACCCATGTCGGGAATCGAACCCGGGTCTTCGGCATGACGAGCGAACGCTTTAACCACTAGGCTACCCGACCGCCCCAGATAATCCAATGATTGACATTGTGGACAATGATCCACGTCATCAGGGTAAGATAACACACAATCAACAAAGTCAATGAACATGACCACCCAATCCATTCGGTTGCCTCTTAAAATCAGCATATATTCCTGGGGACCTATTCTAACCCTGACTCCCAACAAGGAGACACAAGACAGTGGAATCCGGGAATCTCCACCGGGAGACAAAACTATTGGAGCAAGGACAACAGGTGGAGCTGTGTTGGATTCCCTCTCACATAGATATTCATGGAAATGAAAAAGCAGACAAACTGGCGAAACTTGCTCTAGACAAAGTGGACAGTCTATTCCCTTTCATGAACTAGAGATAAAAACCAAAATCAAAGCCTCCATAGTCCAAAGATGGCAAGCCTAGTGGGACGCAAGTAAAATCGGCAGATGGCTATACAAAATACAACCCAAGATCCACCAAAAGCCAAACTCATACTCAAATGAAAAGAAAGTTGAAATTGCCATCTCACGCCTCGGACTCGGTCACAAAAAGCACTATGACAAGGTTTGTCCATCTTGCAATCAGGCTGAATCCATTGCTCACTTGTTACTGGAATGTCAAGAGATGCCCCAGCCCGGGCTTGGTTAAAACAAAAATTGCAGTTAGACCTGCTAGCTGTCATAGATCTCCTAAAGCCAAGAGATGCAATAGCGAAGGCCAAGCTAACTCTATTTCTGAGAGATGGACAGCTACTCGAACGTATATAAACAGAGCAGCCAAAGGTAAAAATGAAATTATATCAATATAGAAATAAAAAATCATATCAATACAAAAACAGAAATAATGTGAATACCAAACTCACAATAGATATGTGTACCCTACTCACACACAGGAGTCCCAAAGAGGGACAGGTCAGCCGAAATTGCTTAGGCTGAAGGCGACCTTTTAAACACTTAAAGCAACAACAACAACAACAACAACAACTGAGTTACCATTTCTTCATATTTACCAGTAATATTTACTGCTTACAGTCATCAGACACATGAGAATCACTGCGACAAGCTCAACACGTACATGATATAGCTCACTGCTTTAGATTCTGTTATACCTTGTGTGAGTATTTTCAGTCAAATCCCCTCAAGTCATGATCAGTTGTTGGGTACAGCCTCATATCTCTGGATATCTCAAGGATATACTTAATTCACTAGATTTGCATATCTACCAACTCAAAATTAGGCAAAACAGAACTAAACTCAGCACCAAGTTATTTCAATTTTCATAACAAAAAGACTTCAAATCAGGCAAGACAAAGAACCTTGAATTTCAAAAACTTTCTTCGTATATTTTTTTCTTTATACTTCATTAATGTTCATCAGATCGACAATCCTTTAAAAATAATCCATTTCTACCACTGACTGGATTGTTTGGTAACAGTTTTCTAACATCAAAGAAAAACTATAGGGAAGCTTAGGTTTATACTTCATCACCACATGTTCAAGTAGTGAGTGAGTGAGTTGAGTTTTAACGCCGCTTTTAACAGTATTCCAGTTATATCACGGCGTGTCAGCTTAATGTGGGAGGAAAGCCCGAAGTGATGCAGGTGCCAGACGTTTACCACTTCAGTGAAACCCACGAGCACGGGTATGGTGCTGACAAACCTAGAAACATGATCAGGGCGAACCGGTATTCGAACCAACGAACATAGGTTTCTGGCGTGCCCAAGGGACGCAACTCTGCACAGCGAATTGTGGCACCTTAGACAACTGGGCCACCAGTGCCCCACACACGTTCAACAAAACAAGGTCTTTGACTGTGCTTACTTATTGAGCAAGTTTACCTTCTACAATATATATCTGTAGCTTTAATAAAATGTATCACAAACAATTATGAACATTTTTATTATGAACTTGCATGCCCCCAAACTCTCCTTTACTGTTCAAAATTGACTTTGCATTTCAATATTTTCTCTTTAAATGGGGGATCGGGTAAAGCATTCGCTCGTCTCGCTGAAGACCCGGGTGCGATTCCTGACATGGGTACAATATGTGAAGCACATTTCTAGTGTCCCCCGCCGTGATATTGCTGGAATATTGCTAAACGCAGCTTAAAACCATCACTCACTCTTTAAACTGAAACTGTATTACATATGGAGTACCTTTAGCGTTGATCTCAGTGTCCAGATTAGCAGGTGTTCCTCTCTTCGCAGTGTTCTGTTTCTGTTTCGTATTCTTGTCCTCATTGTCCACTTTCTCCAACTCCTTATCTAGGTCGACCCTGGTGACACAACACACAGTTTGTAGACCTGGTTTAGGCAGAATATTGCAAGTCTAGAAGTGGGACAAAATGTACATTCGGTCTTTTGGAGAATATGTAGAGCTAGACATGGGGGGAATATGTTAATATGTAAGCCTATATGTGGGGAGAATGTGTAGATCCAGATGTGGGGACAATGTGTAGATCCAGGTGTGGGGACAATGTGTAGATCCAGGTGTGGGGACAATGTGTAGATCCAGATGTGGGACAATGTGTAGATCCAGATGTGGGACAATGTGTAGATCCAGATGTGGGACAATGTGTAGATCCAGATGTGGGACAATGTGTAGATCCAGGTGTGGGGACAATGTGTAAATCCAGATGTGGGACAATGTGTAGATCCAGATGTGGGGACAATGTGTAGATCCAGGTGTGGGGACAATGTGTAGATCCAGATGGGGGACAATGTGTAGATCCAGATGGGGGACAATGTGTAGATCCAGATGGGGGACAATGTGTAGATCCAGGTGTGGGGACAATGTGTAGATCCAGATGGGGGACAATGTGTAGATCCAGATGGGGGACAATGTGTAGATCCAGATGGGGGACAATGTGTAGATCCAGGTGTGGGGACAATGTGTAGATCCAGATGTGGGGACAATGTGTAGATCCAGATGGGGGACAATGTGTAGATCCAGATGTGGGGACAATGTGTAGGTCCAGATGTGGGGACAATGTGTAGATCCAGGTGTGGGGACAATGTGTAGATCCAGGTGTGGGGACAATGTGTAGATCTGGACATTGGGAGAATATGTAGATCTTGACATGGGAAGAATATGTTGACCTAGACATAGGGAGAATATGTAGATCTGGACAATGGGAGAATATGTAGATCTGGACATGGGGAGAAAAAGTAGATCTAAACGTAGGGAAAATATGTAGATCTAGACAACGGGGTGGGGGGGAAATATGTAGACCTAGAATTATCTCTGACATGAGTTAAAAAAAATCCAAAAATGGAAGTGTATTCTTTTCCTTATTTCTGATTATCAGCAGATTTATAAAACAAGTAAAACAAACTACAACCCTAGAGGTCACTTGGCCCATTACATTCACATCAGCCTGCCGCTCTGCTTACTTTTCCCATTCCTTGTGATCTCTTGGCTTTACCCTCTTGTTTGATGTCTGCTGCTTCGTTCCATTCTGCTGAAATAAGTTATTACAAATCTTTACATGCTGAGATTCCCTTCAATAAACAGCAACAAGTCATACATCTTCCCGAGGCAAGAGAATTAACTGACTTTAAAAGTCCAGTTTCCACCCTTGCCCAACTAGGCTGGAATTCCTGGCCTCGATCGTAGCGCCACCAGTGGCTATTACAAGTTATGTCCCTTCTATGCCTCTCCTATGGACCAATCACTATTCCACCTCTCGTATCACTTGAATTTGCCTCAAACAAAAAGGCGCCGCCAGTCAAGACGATCTGATCGATAATCAAGATCTATAGATTGTGATAAAACTAGTCTTACATCGCCAAGTGCATCAAATCACATGAGCACCTTGATTGAATACATGAAAAGTTTTAGAAAACATCTGTTGACAACAAGTTAGCGGTGCAAATGCTTTGCAAATCCTGCAATTGACTGAAGTCTTCATGACAGTTTAAGACCGTATAACGATTTCGGAGCGCGATTTTGATTGGACTATGCATCAACTCGTTAGTCCAGCCAAAATGTAACTCCATAATACCAGCCAAATTCGGCAAGGGTGGAAACTGGATTTTCATAGTCAGTTAACTCACTTGCCTCGGGAAGAAGCAAGTCATTAGACCAGCAAAATGTCAAAATATAGAATATGATATGACATTATTCCAAATCAGAAATCCCTTCCATCATGTCCATAAAAAATCGTCTAGGAAATTCAAAGTCAGATGAACATGATAAATTATGACTAAATAACAAATTATTATCTGATTTTTTTAAATCCTGTTAGATCAAATATTCCCTTGACAAATTCTGCACTCACTGTGGCGATCACAACAAAGAATTCATACCTCTGGATTGGATGTTCCTATAACCCCTGACCTGATGGGAGGAAGGTCAAGGTCACCTGATATGACCCCTGGCCCAGAGGTCATCATGTCTTCTTTGTTTTTCATTTCCTTGTTCCAGTGCTTGATGCCATCAACAAGATCCTGTTTATCCCCAGGGTCAAGGTCAGACAGTCGAGATAGAGGAAGCTCTTTCCGCAAAGCTCGGCTACACAGGACATAACATTATCATTGTGTTGTTTCATTTTAGTCCCCAAATCTTTGACCCAGTTACAAAAGTATCAAAGGTGTGGACTAATTTGAAATCTTATACATGAAAGTGATGGGATAGGTTACAGAAACAAGGACCAGGTTATTTGGTGCTTTTAACATATCAAGCCCATACAAAAGCTGAATCACAAAAAAACCGAACAAACCATATAAGACATGAACAAATGTCAAACTAATCACCAAAGTGGTCGAGTGAACTGGCTTAAGTGCCCCTTTGAGTGAGTGAGTATGGTTTTACGCCCCTTTTAGCAACATTCCAGCAATATCACGCAGGGGACACCACAAATGGGCTTCACACATTATACCCATGTCAGGAATCGAACCCAGGTCTTCGGCGTGACGAGCGAACGTTTTAACCACTAGACTACCCGACCATCCCAGCGCCGGTCTGAATAGTACCTCAGTTGCATCAAGGCGTGTCAGTTAAGTGTTTTGTTTAACAAATGTTATATTTGGTATAACACTTTCTAAGCAAAGTACAGATTGAAGTGATCTAGTGTATATGATCCTGACTACCAGTTGTCAGACTTTCATTTTTGAGGAAGCCTCATTGGCTGAGTGGGTTGGATCACTGACCTTGGGTGCTGGAGATTAGCTGCCTTACTCTGGCAATGTGGGTTCGAATCCCGAACAGGACTCAACCCCCAAAAGTACTAGAATCTGTACTTTACTGAGAAAGAGTTATCCCAAATATAACATTTGCTACTGACCACTTTCTGCATGGCATAGTGTGTTCAAATGCTTTGTTCATTGTTAATGTCGCACTCAGCAATATTCAAGCTACATGATGGCGGTCTGTAAATAATCAAATCTGGACAACACCATTCATTGATTGACATCATGAGCATCAATACATGACATGCATCAACCAAGTCCCCGAGCCTGACATCCTGATCCCATTGGTCACCTCTGAAAGGGTCATCTCTTAAAAACATGGGTTGTTGAAGGCCAATTCTAACCCGGATCTTCACACAGTGAAAGTTAATTGTGGAAGGAAAGCCCCAAGTGATACAGCAGGGTTAGAAATTGGCAATAGTCCTATAGTCCTTACCAATCTGCCCAATAGTTAAGGTATCATAAGGACTACATGTAGTAGATATTTGCCATTTTTAAAGGTTTTGCTATATGTTATCATTATAAGGACTAGTGGACCAAAAATGTTAGTTTCTACCGCTGTACAGGTCTTGATTTTTACCAGTTCGATGTCACCAGCAACATGGGTATGGTGCTGACAAACCGTTGAATTACACTCAGATCCGATCTGGGATTTAAACCCTATGATAAAGATAGCTTGCCACTCGAAAACTGTGGCACTGAAGACAACGAAGCCCCCATGCCCCTTACTATCCAAAGCATTAAAATAGTCAAAAACTGAAGATGACTGTGAGACAACAGAAGAGTCCATGTACAACATATACTACTCAAATCAAGTCAAAGAACGCCCATAACTGGAAGGATGTGTGTTGCAATACCCATCAGCTGCAACTGATTAACTATAGCCATATGAAAAACGTAGGTGTTCCTTAACTTCTTTTGAGTAGCATAAATGGCATATATGCAGATTCCTACCGACCTTGAACCAGCTTCAGTTACAACAGTTCCGTCAATGCCAAAATCCAAAACACACACTAGAAATACCACCTAGCTGTTATTCACAGAGTAACTATCTAGAATTTCATGAAGATTTTAACATACCTGTTTGGAGCCAATTCTGTGAGCTTGTTTTCAGCCAGCCTTTCCAGTTCAGGAAAATAACCTTCCTCTCCTGACCTGTGTGAAGTAAAGCAGTGAGCAAGCTGTAACAGGTCTTAGTCTAGTTGGTTGTTTGTTGTTTAACGACGCACTCAGCAATATTCCAGCTGGATGACGGCGGTCTGTAAATAATCGAGTCTGGACGACACAATCCAGTGATTGACAACATGAGCATCGATCCATGCAATTGGGATCGATGACATGCATAAACCAAGTCAGCAAGACTGACTATCCAACTCTTACAACAAGCATAGTCGCCTTTTTGGGTTGCTGAAGACCTATTCTACCCCAGATCTTCACGGGCCTCTTAGTCTAGGGAAATCCTGGTTCACTGACAGATGTATCACAAACGTATTTTCAAACAGTAACATTTTTAACATTTTTAAATAACCAAGTCTGACTACTGTTATTAGGAATACCTTACTGACTGACGCAAAACAAAACGCCAAATCTGATTCCAGCTATATGTTGGCAGTCTGTAAATAATTGAGTCTGGACCAGACAATCCAGTGATTGACATCATGAGCATCGATCTATACAACGGTGATACAATCAATCTAGGGATTGATATTGTGAGCAACATTCAACGCTGTCGGGTACGATGACACGCAATCAACCGAGTCACAAAGTCTGATCACCCAACCCATTTGGTCGCCTCTTACCAGCACAGTTTGTTAGGGATCAGTTCTAACCACAATCCCCACAGGGTAAAGACTCATGAAGATCCGTGGTAGAATAGAATTCTCAGCAACCCATGCTTGCCTTAAGGCGACTATGCTTGTCGTAAAAGGCGACTAATGGGATCGGGTGGTCAGGCTCGCTGATTTGATTGATGCATGTCATGGATCCCCATTGCGTGGATTGATGCTCATGATGTCAATCACTGGATTGTCTGGTCCAGACTCAAGTATTTACAGACCGCTGTTAAATAGCTGGAATATTGCCGAGTGCGGCGTTAAACAACCAACCAACCAACCAACCAACCAACCCACCCACCCACAGGGTATAAGGCACCTAAAGCACACTTTAAACAACAACATTTCTATGACTGCAGATATATTACTTCAAGACTCTTAATATTTTCTCCAGTTCCTTGACATCGCTGCAAGCCTTCACATAGCTGTGGTCCAAGTGAGACAGTGGGATGTCGTACTTCTTGGTGTTCTCTGTCATGTATACTGCTTCCCCCATAACTGATCTGAAACATCAAAACAGGGTATTGACAACATGTACTGTTTCTTGTTAAACGCAGCAGGTAGAAATATTAAAGTAATATCACTGCCTGTCAACAGTTGGGTCCTGGCCAGACCAACATGTGGTTGATATTATGAGCAACACACCAAGCGGTTGAGGTAGAATGAGCGTGAATCTGCCAAGCCTGACCAACTCTTTCATTAGCTGTATCAAATGGTAACATGAAATGGGAAAGTAAATATTCCAATTAAGAGATAATTAACAGTATCACAGAGAGACAGATAAGTAGTCTGTCTTACAGACCCTGATACAAATATATATCAAATACAGCCCATGCAAGTCTATAATGTTTGGCAAGTCTAGATCACTGCAGTATCAGGAATCTGAAAATGAAGAGAGTCACTGGGCTCCTTTTTATTATATTTTTATTAAGATAACTGAACAACTGTTTTTTTATGTACGATATGTTCATTTCAGAGACTAGATGTTAGTCTAACAGATAAGCAGCGTATTTGCGTAAAATACACCCCCCCCCCCCCCACCGAATATTCAAAACTTACTTTCAATTAACTTGTGTACAGAAATGCATGCATTAAATGAAAAAACTAAAATGTATTAAAACCGCATGCGTAAGTACCCAAAGAAGCTTTTTCAGCATGCGTACAAAGGAGCAAATTGACAAAGCACAATTACAAGCTAATTTACATGTACTTTCTTTTTAAATCTTAAAATGTTCACTCGTTATGGGGAAAACCCATTAGAGCTCTAACACATAACTAGTCAGCATAACTTGTCAGCATTACTAGTCAGCATAAATTGTCAGCATGGATAACATCAATCATCTGAAAAACTGACCAGCATCCTTGATTGTCAAGGTAATATCTCCATTCTATTATCATGATCATGATAAATACCTGGACTTATACACAATAGCTTTGTTTTGGAATTGACTGTTATTTTGAATGTCATGCTTTACAAACCATACTCACAACGAAGCTAGGGTAGCGATTGAGGGTATGCAGTATTATCAATATATCGGTAAATTGAGGTTCATTCTTTCCGTGATACCAGTACGTATCACAATATTATTTTTTATGCTCGTTATATCAGGTGATTTCAAATGGCGATTTTTAAGGGTTTTTTTAAAAGGGCTGTTACGATTCACTTATGTATTTGGTGAATCGAACCGTATCCTTTCATGAATTGAATTTGTTATTCGTGGCCACTAGAATCGAATATGTACACACAAAAATTAGTAAAGAGTGTTTTTTTTACTTGAACTCGTCTATTATTTATCAAAGAGAGATATGCAAAATGGAATATATTCAAGCCATGCAGTAGCGTAACTTGTGTCAGTCTGCCATGGCCCCTTGTGGTACTGTCAACCAAAACATGGTGCTATAAGTGGCATTGTAGCCATTTATTGCTTGTTTGCTTCATAAAAAATATCACTGAAATATTTCAACCTAAGCAATTACATGTCATACATTTAAGTACTGTTTTAATAAGTTTTACACTGACACAGTGTTTTTCCCCCAACGCAAAGATAGTACCAGCTGATTACCTTGAGCACATAACACCGGAAGTAACTTATTGTATTCGTGAATAAATCTTCGTATTTGTTACCCTATGTTTGTGATACCTATGGTATTTGCGTATCATGTTATATACTAGCCAAATGCCTTCGCTGCCCCAGAGCTGGGAGCAGAATCCCCAAGATGACTGCGTATTTATTGTTGTACCAGCATTTTGTTTTGTTGCATTTATGAACTTCAAATCATACCATAATGTATCAGAGTGCATCTGAATTCAAAATTTAGAATTATAAAATATAGAATGATAGATATCGCAATACGGCCTTGTGCATCACAAAATATTGTAATACACTTAAACTTCTAATACCCATCCCTAGTATTGAAAGTGTCAAGGTATTTATCTTAATAGAACGGAGATATAATACCCTGGACAATGGAGGATGGTTCAGCATCAGTGACAATATTTCATTGACATGTAAAGTATACTTCAAATTCAAATTGGAAGTTGCCAAATATGTCCTTCATCGCCAGTGAAGATAGGAAGGGGTATTCCGTGAGTGGGGGATCCCAGGCTAAGTACAATGTTTCCATCTAAGACATATAGAATACTAAACGAGCTTCCGTGTAATACAAATTTTATGAAACGAGTGAATAGTTGTGGTATCCGAAGAGCGAAAGCGAGTCAGATACCACAACTATTCACGAGTTTCATAAAATTAGTTTTACACGGGAGCGAGTTTAGTATTTTATTTATTACTTGCCATTTTACGGTTTTTAAAATTATCCTCTCGAGTGTGAATAGGCTGACACCTACACGATCCACGGCATAATCCAATTGAGTTGGACTGAGTTGAGAAATACTTCAAACACGTCAAAAGTTGAAACGTATGAATTTAATACCATACAACGGTCCACCTTTAGAATTCAGGCGTCCATTCCACAAAATTATCGTAGCGTTAAAGTTATCGCAACTCACATACTTTAACTTAGACCAACAACTTTCACCGCGCTACCGTAGGATCGCCTTATGGAACGGGGCCTTGCACCTCAAAGTTTACAATCACGTCATAATAACCGATGACGTAATTTGTGGAATTTTGTTGCAAGATCCTTCGGCGAAACAAAGCCATGTGACGTCAGCCTAGCAACAAGGCTGCTGGGGTTCATCGAGTGTGCATAAGCTCCTCTGAGTGATCTATTATCTCCACACACAATGTTGTTGAATAAGCCAAGGTATGTTGAGAGCTTTCAATATTTGTTTGTGAAACGTGTTCCCAGAGTACATAAGCACGCGTTTTGGTATTACACAATGTGTAATACAGCTGTATGTTTATTAAACGGGTGATCTCTTCACGGGCAAGTAATAAAAGGCTTTAATGAATGACGGGTAACTAACTACACACTGTCGCAATTACCAAGGGGGGTAACTCTCTGGTCATATATGAACTACATACCACTAATTACTGGCACAATGTAATGATGGCAATCAAATTTCCATGGGGTTAAAAAGAATTATCTGATCTCATATCTGCCAGACCCACACAATGGGATGGAGCATGCTCAGTTCACTGCACAATTCCAATGTATCGGGGATCGATCCTGCTTTATCCAAGCTGACCAGTTCATGTAAAACATTGCAAGTGCAGGTATAACTGTTATAGCCAGGTTGCACCTAGTGCAGGTAACATTTCCCAAAACAATTGCACGGCAGCAGTTATATTTATTAACAGTGAAAAACTTACTTCTTTTAGAACTGGCTGCAAATCTTTTAGAATCCAGAAAGGTTTGCTTAAAATAGTGAAATACACAGGAGGTCTGAATGCAGCGAACATGTGGAACTAATTCTTCACAAAAACCACTTGAACAGTCACTCATTCAGTTACAATCACAAGAAACACTTTTGGTTGTTTAATGGATATCAAGATGTGAAAAGCCATGTACAGATTTCCTCAAAATAAAATACTGGAGCACATTCTCAAGTTTATTTTCTCTTTCAATTTATTTAATATTCAAGATAACTGAAAATACAGTGTTTCAATTCATGACAAAATGGTGCAGCCAATATTTTGGTGTTGCAATCTGATTAATTCACTTGGTTCCACCTGTTGCAGGTAATAAAACAATGGGGGGCACTGGTGGTCCAGTCGTCTAAGGCGCCGTGATTCGCTGTGCAGAGTTGTGCCTTGGGCACGCCAGAAACCTATGATTGTGGGTTCGAATCCAAGTTCGCCCCGATTATGTTTCTGGGTTTGTCAGCACCATACCCGTGCTCGTGGGTTTCACCGAAGTGGTAAACGTCTGAGACCTGCATCACTTCGGGCTTTCCTCACACATTAAGCTGACACGCCGCGATATAACTGGAATACTGTTAAAAGCGGCATTAAACCCAACTCACTCACTCACTAATAAAACAATTAAAATCGCACCCTACTGTATTATACCTACTGGTATGTGCAGTGTGATGACAAACGTTTATGTAATAAGTATATGTAATGTTGATATGTAATTTTCTTTTATGTTCGAAACCATGGCCCCAACTGCTGTACACTGATAGTTCTTGCATCATCATGATCATAATTGAAAGTGATGTGGCAACGCCACACCCAACAATGAACATGGTCTACCCTTGGCAGCATCCATTCACAGGAACCATGTTTGGCAAGGCTGCATATCGCCGTCACACTGTGTTGTGACATAAGCACAGCGATAGAAATTGGCACTAGTCCTGTAGTCATTGCAAAAGTGCCCAATAGTTAAGGTATTGTTATATGTGGTAAGTTGCGTGCAGTGCATGGAGTTGGTATTGGTGTAAGGAGCTAGAGTAGTCACTTGACCTAACATGGCGACGTCCATGGATTTGTCGCGAGATATCATTCATTCTAGAGTAAGTATTCGAAATTTGGTAAGTTGATGACGTGTAGTATTCGAAACTTGGGAAGTTGATGACGTCTCAGTGTGATAGCCGTTGAGGCGACAGTTGTACTATGGCGATGGTGTAGTATAGACCGTTTTGATTGATACGAAGTGTTTGTTGAGTTTGAGTCAATCGGAGTTCTCAACAAGTGAGCATAATGCCAGGCGGAGATACAACAAAATCATAAGGACTAGTAGAAATTGCCATTTATAAGGGTTTTGCTATATGTTATCATTATAAGGACTAGTGGACTAAAAATGTTAGTTTCTACCCCTGAAGCATGATGTGAAGTGCCAAGGTAACAAAGATCATAAACTGGGTGAGTGAGTTGAGTTTAACACAGATTTGAACAGTATTCTAGTTTTATCATGGCTTGTGAGCTTAATGTGATAGAAAAGCCTGAAGTGATGCTGTCTCAGATGTTTACCACTTTGGTGACAAACCTAGAAACATAATGAGGGATAGAAACTAACTGTTTAAGTCCACTAGTCCCTGTTACTGTTACGATAACATATAGAAAATATACTAGTCCTTATGATACCTTAAATATTGGGCAGTTTGGCACAGACAGACAAAAGTATTAGTGCCAATGTCTATTACTGATAATCGGGGCGAATCGGGATTGGGACACATGATCCTAGGCTTCTGTCATACCCAAGGGACTCAACGCCTTAGACGACTGGGCCCCCAGACCATACTACCCAAATGAAACCAAATTTACCAATGACAATATTTCATCTGCCAATTATTTCACTTTTCAGTCTACATACATGGTTTTGGTCTGTTATTCATCCAGATAGAATGCATACTGTATATCATCACACATGGGGTCAGACACGTTTACAAGTGAATAATGGCAAATTTCTACTAGTCATATGATACCTGGGTAGTTTGGCAAAGACAATAGGACTCGTGCTAATTTCTAAAGTTGTTAACAGAGTATGCACACCACTTTATACACTGATTTACACAATGCACACCGGCTGCTATGTTCATACCTCCATAAACCCAAAATATTTTAGTCAATTCTCAAATATACAGCTTCAAACAAGGACTTGCTTTTGACGAGTTTAAGGCCAACAAAATAATGAAATAGGTCTTTATGAAAAAGTCCCCTTGGCTTGATGTTGCATATCCATAGATGCTAAGTTAAGTCACTTTCAACCATTCGAATTTTCCCATTCTAACTCAATTCCATTTTCATTTTCGACTCCAACTGCTATTTTGAGCATAGACGTCATTTCAAACCCCACAAAAATCATTAGGCCCTATCTAGCACAGCTAAAAAATGTAGTTCTGAGCTCTGACAAGCAACCGATATGGGAGCAATACCAAATAGTTGAATCACAGAACATCCGAGAAGAACTGAGAATCATGTTCAAGCGAGGGGGCAACCGGAGACTAACGAAATTAAGTGACGGACACTGACGGGTGTCAAAATTGAAAGTAAATACAAACTTCTCTACCTTGGAAAATAAAGTGTGCATCGTTACAAAGGAAATACAGAACAATCAATAATGGTGTGGGATGCCATTACTGTCACCTTCCTTCCTCACCTGTTTTGATTAACACAAAAGCAACAGGTGGGCTAAGTCCAAGCACGTTTATCTTCGTTACCCTGGTTTGGAGAAGCTTTCCGTCTTCTGATATCGTTGGGTAACGTCGTTTCTCGCGAGAGAACGCGAATGCAATCGGAACAACTCGTTCTACCAATTATTTGTGACTGTAAATCGACATGGTTCCGAATGTTTCCGAATGTACATACTTGGCATCATATAGTCTTAACAACATATTCCAACTTTAAATGACATACAAAGTTGTCTGTTACACATTTACTCTTATCTAGACTGCCTTTAGATTTGGAATCTTTTTTGAACACAAAATCAAAGTGACACAGTTTTAACACGCTCAGTTGCGTTGCGTATCATCCGGGTACTCGCGGGGAAAAAAACAATAACAAAGGCAACAACCAGTCCGGGGAATTGCGTTAGATCAGTGCCCCTTTAATGACACATACACGTCTTCTCATACACATTGTTGTAATAATGTGATCTGTTGCGAAAGGAAGGGAGGTTCCATGGTGGTTTGTTGTTGCAGTTGCCGCTGCTGCTGTTGCTGTAAGCTTGCAGTCAGAAGTTTTACAGCTATGTCACGGTGGCCTGTCAAATATGGAGTCTGGGCCAGACAACCCAATGATTGATATTATGAGTGACGTCCCACGCCGTCAGCTGGGGTACGGTGACACACAATCAACCAGGTCACCGTGCCTACCCACCCAATACAGTATAGTCAACAATTTCACGACATGCCATAAAGTGTTGGGGACCCTTTTTAACCGGCACCACACATGCATCAGGAAGATTTTTAACCCTACAGACATTTGTTTGAAAAAGGGATAAATATTTTTTCCGTATCTTAAAACAAAATCACATGTTGATAACAAGATGGAATTGATAAGTGTATCTTGACACGATTTAATCTAATATCTAAAATCTAATATTTAAAATTGTGAACATAATTATTCACTTACGATCTTCGATGTTTTGGGTAAAATAACTAAATATTGTTTGTTTGTTTATTTGTTGTTTAACGCCAGACTCAGCAATATTCAAGATATATGACGGCAGTCTGTAAATAATCGAGTCTGGATCAGACAATCCAGTGATTGGCATCATGAGCATCGATCCACGCAATTGGGATACGATGACATGCATCAACCAAGTCAGCGAGCCTGACCACCCGATCCCGTTAGTCGCCTCTTACGACAAGCATAGTCGGGTTGCTGAAATCCTATTCTACCCCGGATCTTCACGGGTGTGTTTGTACAATACTTAAAGACAATGAGCACCCAGATCAGTGAGAGAGTGTTGTTCTATTCCGTTTATTCCAGCGACGAGGGATTCTTGAACTGGGATTCCCATATTGTACCAACGTGGGAATCGAACCCGGGAGTGAGTGAGTTGGGTTTGACGCCGCTTTTAACAGTATTCCAGTTATATCACAGCGTGTCAGCTTAATGTGGGAGGAAAGCCCGAAGTGATGCAGGTCTCAAACGTTTACCACTTCGGTGAAACCCACGAGCACGGGTATGGTGCTGACAAACCTTGAAACATAATCGGGGCGAACCGGGATTCGAACCCACAATCATAGGTTTCTGGCGTGCCCAAGGGACGTAACACTGCACTGCCTTAGACGACTGGGCCACCCGTGCCCCCTCGAACCCGGGATCTCTGTTCATACACCAATGAATGATTGAGTGAGTCTGGTTTAACGCCGCTGAGAAATGTGTTTCACGGCCTGTTAGTTTGATTAGTGCACCATGACTGTGGAATATACGTATTTTGTGAAAACAAAACCAATCTGGATATAAATAAAAGCAAGTCAAGCCTGCTTTATTCCACATCAGCATCTGAAAATTATTTATTTTAATTTTAGTGAGAAAAATGTATTGTGTGATAAAAAAAAATCATAGACCATACGTTAGTCTACAGCTTGATGTGTGGGGAAAGCTTCAAGTCATACGTGTATTATAGGTTTACCACTCTAGTAAAACCCAAGATATGCTTGTGAGGTTAAACCTAGAAACATATTCATGGAAAATCTGGGATTCGAACCCACGACCTAAGGGGCGCAACTCTGCACATAAGGGACGCAACTCTGCACAACGAAATGCGGCGCCTTAAACGCCCCCGTGTCTCCACATACTCTTATGAACTCGCAGAAACTCCAGTTCGAATCTCTCGTGTGGATTCTGGGTAAGAACACAGATCCCCATCAACATATACAAATTACAGTAAAAGGCGACTAAATGTATAGGTTAGTCAGGCTCGTTCGTTGATAGCGTGTTAGTGTAACACAATTGCGTAGATCGGTGCTCATGATGTCAATCACTGCATTGTGCATGAAATTGTGATATTGTGCATGTCTCACACTATAGTTAAAGGGGCACTGATCTAACGCATTTCCGCGGACTGGTTGTTGCCTTTGTTATTGTTTTTTCCCCCTTGAGTACCCGGATGATACGCAACGCAACTGAGCGTGACCAGAGACTGGGCTACCGTCTGCAAGGACAGCTAAATAAACTTGGAGGCTGGAGGCAATATTTGTTTTACGCATTTTTGCATAAACACTGATTGGTTAACTGTGATCTATACAGATTTCGACAAAGGGTGCATGTTAATTAATTTCTTCAGCCTAAACAAGCAGACAAAAAGAACAGCGGAGCTTATCGGATGTCGTCATTTGGAAATACCCCAGATGGTTATAGTTTTATACTAAAAAAGTATCCATGCAGTGAAAGCATTTTCGGATTTCGGCTTGCGTCGATAATACGATTACTACTCCCTTGTTGACATCCACGTTTTCTCGTATAACCCTTCACTTGTGTATTTGTCGTCATTCACTTGATGCTCAGTTAATGAATTTATTACAGGTACAATTAGTGGTAGCACCACTTAGATTACCTGACAAAGGTTCCCATTTGGCATTTATTGTGTCTGGGGTAATTATTCAATCTAAATCCAGGTTTGAAGTGAGGTGAAATGTGTGTTATGTAATATGCACGTGGCAGCCCAGCATGAGATGAATGATCAGTTGATTTATTTTTTTGTAAATCAACGGAACGTTCCTAGTCATCAAAGGATTAACAGAAGATACGTTGATTGATTAATCACTGTTATCTTGCACAGTGGATATGTCAAGAGTGAGTGTTTACATGTCTAGGTTTACGCTAAAACAAAGGGAATACACTCATACCATGGCGTGAAGTGCCGATGTAAAAACAACATACTTTGTTCAAAGGGTTAACTTATAATACGTTGATTGATTGATCATTGTTATCTATCACTCAATGGATTTTTTGGGAACCGTGAACGTTATGAAAATAGTTGTCACGTGGGCTTTCTCAGCCGACCATTGAGACTTGACACCTATGTAAAACACCTGAAACAATCCAAGTGATCAGTTGAGAAACGAACACGGGTTATAATATCCCGAAACGACACATATCTTTTAAAATATTTGATTGTTACTGAGACAAGTGACATCGAATAAGTTTCTTTGTACATCTGCAGACGAGTGGGATATTGTTCCTTTGTGTGGATATTCACGGATACATTCCTCGAACAAGGATGCTGCCTAAAATTTATACACATAAATTTGGTAGGTTGTAATTATGATATTTGCATTTTGTTTTCCTTCATTTGAACCGATTCGTTCTTGTTTCTCTACGTCTTGGTTGGGAAATTCTTCAATGCGCGATATACGTTGTTTTCACAGGTCTTTTCCTTTGTAAGCGTGTATATATTACCGTCAATTTGTAAAATGTGATTCTCTCAGGCAATTTATAAAATGTGTAAATATTTCAGTCATTTTGACTAAAAAATCTGTCCAGATTGATTAAGACGATCAAAAGGGCCTACAAACATCACAACAGATCATTATGTAGGATTAGAAGCCAAACAACATAGAAATGTACTTTTCTAAACGTAACATTTTCAGTCTCTTGGTGGTGACATTAAACATCAAAATGTTTGGAATTCGTTATCATAATAATACAGATGGAAATGTTTTTCAGTCACTTTGTAAAATAACTGAATATTTAGACGTTTAATAAATTTGTTACACATTTGACAGTAAAAAAAAATACACACTATAAAAAAAGGAATGTTCAGGTGAAATATGTACTTTGTGTTGCAAGTCAAAATAGTGTAAACGAAAATCGCAAAATTACCAAGCAAGTGACTTATCAAAACTTCGTCACCATTACCGATGCTACCCACAAAGATGCCTACATTTGCTTATTATCTCGAAAACTGTATTTCATTTTGTTCATCAATGTGACCATACGCCCTTATTACTACCCATAAAAGCGACTAATGCGCTTACGAATGGCGCAGCAGAGGTCGCGAACTAGTCTAGATTTCTGCTATACATCCGGGTACTCACTGGGAAAAAACAATAACAAAGGCAACAACCAGTCCCGGGGAATTGCGTTAGATCAGTGCCCCTTTAAGATCACGATGAAATAACGTTTATACTATTTTGTACCATAACTACAAAGTAACACCAATTGTTTTTTGGGTGTTTTTTTAATATATCTAGCCATATCAATCCGCTATAAATTTTAGCCCAACAGCCATTCTCGTGAAATATACAGTTTACTGTTATTAGTTTTCACACATGCGGTACGCTCATGAGACGGCAGCTAAAACGGCTCGGTGCCAAAACAGCACAAAGAAAAACCGGAGATATAACTTCAGTTAAAACGGCTTCCGAATGATTTACCAAAACGCCCAACATTACATTTCCGCTCAGTGTCTTCTTTTTTTAGAATTGGAACAATTCCGGAAACAATTCTTGCATTTCTTTGATTTAGTTTTCAATAAACGTTATGTATATCATACACGCTAAACTAACGAGATAGATGACAAATAATTTGATTTAAGTACCTACAAAATCGCCCTCTTTACCTTCTATATATTTAAAATCGTATTATTATGTGTACAGTATAAATGTGAATTCCTCCATGAATTTGGAAATTACTCGATTTTGATTTGTCAATCAGAGGTTGTCAAATCACAACAAATCAAACTCTAATTGAAACAGTCGATGTGATGGTCGCATCACGACGGAAGCTAATATTCATCAAATAGTACGTT